ACATTTTTTTTCACATACCTATTTTATATTTCATAAATTATTATTAAAAAGTTACTTATAAACTATTTTAAATAAACCCATTTGGGACTTAGAGTTTAGGTTTTGAAGAATTACTTGTAAAAAAGACAATCAATTGAGACTTGTTTCAAATCGTTTGTAATTAATTTTTTAATTATGATTTATAAAATAAAAAGTATGTATGTAAAAAGAGATTTTGTCTTGATTTGCATGAATGTGCTTATAACACTATTTTAGATTATCGCGTCCAAACAAGCCTTTAGTTGTTGGAGAGCATTAATGAGAAAATCTCAAAAAAAAAAAAAACAAAACAAAAGCAACCTTAGATACAAGCTATATATTAAGCTATATCATGAAAAACATTTGGAATGATAATTGTAATTTTTAAAAACAACTTTGTCGATTGCTATTTATGAAATATAAAATAAATATATAAGGAGAGTTTTGTTTCAAATCATATAAAAGTGTTTATATTAAATAACTCCAAGTAAGGGGAGGAAAAGGAAACAACACCGCTTGGGAATCATATTCCCATCCCCAACATATACTGTGGATTCATTACCCCAAAAAACCATGATAACCAATCTATCAAATAATAATAATAAAAATTAAAAAAGGAGTCACCATAATTAAATGAATTTTTTAAATTAAAAAAATAAATTACATTAGATAAGAACTTTCTACTAATAAAATAATGCTAATCCATATAATTTATTTATATAGATATATTCATTACTCAATATTTTATTGTTCAATAAAAAGAATAAAACTATTGTGATGTGCAAATTGTCTGTAGATTAGATATATTTCATAATTGTTTTTAAAAATAAAATTTCTAATTTCTCGTAGGTCACGCAGACAATTAATTGTCAAAAAAAAAAGAAGTAGGTATTACCTTTCAAAGTGCGGGCTATTTTAACCCGCCTTCTTTCTATAGAAAAAAAAAACTAATTATATCTCTTGATTAGATACAAGATTGCCGAAGGAGTTTTCAAAATGGTGGGGTACAACGTTCAAGTGTAATTCACCAAGAAAAGTTGTAGTATTTTATTTTTAAATGTTATATATATGTATATCTGTACCTGGTACTTATTACATTATAGATAGAAATAAAATAAAAGAATATTTTTATTTTTAATTCCCCCATCATTTTATGGTTTAATTTGTTGAGGGCCTTAGGACTGATGAGTCATGGTTTATAAAAATGAAAAAGGTTAATATAATTTTTAGTTTTTTAATACCCTCATTTTGATTTTAGTCCATTAAATTTTAAATTATAGATTTTTGGTTCCTCAAAAAGTAAAATATTCTTTTTTATAAATTATAGAGACTAATATTTTAAATAAAAAAAATTTAAGGAACCAAAATCTTTGAGTTTGTTTGGTTTCCTGTTTTAGAAACAATTTTTTGTTTTTAAAAACAGAAAAATAAAAAATAACTTGTTTGGTAATTTATTTTTAATTGATTGTTTTAAAAAATAAAAAAATAAAAACATGATTTTAAAAACTAAAAAACCAAAACAACTTTTATATGTTTTTTTAGTTTTTGTTTTTGTATTTTTTGTTTTGAAAAATTTTGAGAAACTTTCTTCTCTTCTTATCAATTATCCACCACTTATTATTATTTTTTGATGAAAATACAAGGCCAATCGCCCAATCTATATTATCACATTGCATGGGTAAGCAATCCCCACAGTGTCAAAAAATAGGTGCTTATACAAACTAGGAGGGGGGCGATAAAAAATAATAGACTCCTCCTCAAGCTCAAAACTAAGGTTTGCTAAGAAATCAACACAAGAGTTCCCTTCCCTATACACATGTTGAACTCTTGTATAAGAAAAAAACTTATCTCTCTCTTAACTATCTTTAATAGACTCGAAACTATGTCTAGATCATCATCTATATTCCTCAATATATTTACAACAGTACTAGGATCACATTCAACTAAAAGCCTTTATATACCTAAACTCAGGGGCAATTTGTACACCAGATATGACTCCCCATAGCTCAGCTTTAACAGCAACGCAGCTTCCAAGCTTCTTTGCATACCCTCTTATCCATCTTCCATCACAGGTTCGTAAGAGTCCACCACATCCAACTTTACCCTGCAGGCCCTTTGAAGCTTTGTTTGAGTTCAACTTTACCCATCCTACTAAAGGAGGTTGCCACCTAATAAAGGCTTCCTGTCTTCTCCTTCCCAGTGTACCATGTAAGTTGGTTACATTAACAATCTCATTGACATGTTTCTCAATTATCAACTCTAGCTTTTCAGGAACAGCATAATTCTCTTTAAATAGGCTCACGTTTCTCCAATTCCAAAGCTTCTAACATATCACACCATACTCCACTACCTTCCTACTGTTTCTTCTACTTAGGCCCCATTTAAACCACTCAAGACCTTCTAATTCCAAAAACTTCGTATCCTGTAACCATTTGCCACATCTTCTCCAAACATCCTTTGCAAAATGACAGTCTCTTAAAACATGCATGACTGTCTCCAATTCACCAACACACTTCGAACACATAGGACTTTCCCCCATCATTCTGCTTCTTCTTTCAGCCATTAACAATCTATTATATGTTGCTAACCATAAAAAAACTTGAATTCTATTCGGACCTTTCCATCCCCATATGTGGCTCTAGACAGCATCCCTCACACCATCATCATTCCTCAACATTTCATACATTTTCGCCACCATATAGTTCTCCCTCAAACCAATACCCTATTTGATAATATCATTACCAAGATCAGAACTTGGAGGGGGCATAGCCAGTAACGTGTCCTTCCCTACATCGGTCAACATAGTCTTAATTTTTGTGGAATCCCATTTTCCATTATCATTTACCATATCTATAACCTTCCAACTTCTCATTTGATTGTTGAGAAGCACTAGACATTTACCTTCCAGTCTAACATCCCTGTCACACCATAGATCCTTCTAGAATTTTACTGTCTCACCATTTCCTACTTCCCATCTGACCCCTTTCAGGATTGGAGGCCACAGTCTTGCTGGGTTTTTCCATACTTCTGAATCTGTGCTCTTTGTTGTGCATTCAATCAGTAGGTATGCATTTCTACTATATTTCGTGGCCAACACCTTCAAGCATAAGCTATCCGACTTGGAAATTAGATTCCAACCAACCCTGCCCAGCAAAGCATCATTCATAGTGCCCATATCCTTCAGGCCATAACCCCTTCTATCCTTGGGAGTACATAGGAGTTCCCGACTGACTGCATGCATCTTCCTTTTGTCTTCCCTGCCTCTCCATAAGAAATTACATTGTATCCTTTTAAGCTGCATTCTTACTCCGCTAGGGATATGGGAGTGTTGCATATGATAAGCAGCCATGTTGTTTGTGACAAGTATCAGCCTACCAGCCAAAGATAGATTCTGTTTCTTCCATCCACTCACTTTACTTTGCATTTTGTCAATCAAGAACTGGAATCTTTCTTTTGTACTCCTCCTGTTCATGATTTGTGCTCCTAGATACCTTCCCATATTATCTGTACATTTAAAGTTTGTCATGTTACATATCTCATCTTGCAGCCTCCTACTTTTGTTCTTTGAGAAAAAAATATTCGTCTTCTGGACATTTATTTGCTATCCTGAAGCTTCTCCAAACCTCTCTAGAATTTCCAAAATGTTGGCAGCCTGCTCAATACTTGCTTCACATAACAAAAGCACATCATCTGTAAACATATGGTGAGTGATAGGGATGCCTCTTCTTCCCATCTTGAAAGAATTCCACTTTTTTTTTTTTCATGCACACCATCCGCTATCATATGTGACAATTTTTCCATCCCAAATACAAACAAATAAGGAGACAAAGGATCCCCTTGTCTTAAACCTCTGGTAGGCTTAAATTCCTCTCTTTTCTCTCCATTCCACATGAGGCCATTTTAGCTGAGTTGATACACATCATAATTACTTTTATCATATGCTCTTCAATACCAACTTCCTGTAAAGTCTTTTCCATAAAACCCCATGACATTCTATTATAAGCTTTCTCTAAGTCTATTTTAATAGACATGTAGCCTTTCTTCCTACTCATCTTATTCATAGTATGTACCATTTCTTTTGCAATTATGATATTATCTTGTATATTTCGTTTGGGAACGAAACTGGACTGGAAGGGGAAACTAATTTGTCCATTAAGGGCTTCAATCTATTCACAATCAACTTAGTTAACCCTTTATAAATGACATTATAAAGGGCAATGGGGAGGAAGTGGCTTACTTGTTTTGGTCTCTCAACCTTTGGAATTAGAGCCAACAGAGTGCTATTGATTTTAGCAATACGATCAGGTTGCCTCCACATAATTGATAGCAAATCTGACACGGCACTCCCCACAATCTCCCAATTCTGTTGATAGAACAATGCAGGAAATCTGTCTTTTTGGAGCTTTTAGGTTGCCCATCTGATTAAAAGCCTTTTTAATCTTCATACCATCGATATCTCTACCTAAGTCTTCCAACATAGCATTTGACACATTGCCCCATCTCTATTTTGTTTCAATCCAGATTCGATTGTAATTGTCTTCTCCAAACATGTTTTCATAAAAGCTTTGGAAAAGCTTTACAATTATCTCCTCATCATCTGTCCAGCCTCCTTTATCATCTTTTAACATACTTACTCTATTTCTTCTTCTTTTGGTTAAAGTCTTCATATGATAGTACTTTGTATTCCTGTCACCATGTTCAATCCCCTATCACTTAATAAGTGTGATTTTTTATGATTTTTTTAAACATGATTTTTTAAAATTATTATCCCAACAATTCTTTTATTTTTTGTTTTCAAAACTTATTCTAAAAAACAATTTTATAAAATTGTTTTGAGAATAAGAAAACAAAGAACAAAAATAAATAGGTCCTATGATTTGAAACTTCAAAAATAAAAACTGAAGATGACAGCAATTCTGAGGAAAAAAATTGTATTAACCCAAATAATAACTAAATCAGGCAAAAAAAAAAAAACTTTAAAATGCAAGAGGGAGGGAAAAGGGCATTTGGTGGGAACCGGGAAGCGAAGAAGGGGAGGGAAACGATGCCAGTGGCTACGCGAGAGACATCTGATGCCAGAATTATTGCTCACGTAGATATGGATTGCTTCTACGTTCAAGGTATCAATACCTTCTCCTCTTTCTCTTCAGGCTTTTATCATTTTCTTGTTTTTTTTTTTGATGCATTTTTTTTTTCGCTCGAGGAAGTTAATTAGGGTTCGCCAATGTCTTGAAAATCGTTGCGGATGTGAATTCTGTCAAAACCAAATATCCTTACTTACGTTTTCCTATTGTCATGCTCTGACGTAAATTTTTAGACCCATAGTTCCACAATTGTAGCCTCCCTGAAATTATTACCCAGCTGTCTTTTTAGTTTCAAACTTCATTTTCCTGTTTTCCAGCCTTTACATTTAGTGCCCCCAGTTTCACTGAGTTTAATCGTTAAAGGCTAAGTTGCATCACTTACTAGTTTGCTACTAATATCCCTGTACTTAAGGTTGCCATTTACAGTAAGATAAAAGACAGGTGGGACTGTAATGATATGTTTGTTTCTACAGCCATTTCCATATGCATATGATTCTGTAATTAAGGTTATTTGGCTCAGGGGAAGGATGTGTCTGTTAGATTGAGTAAAACTATGGGTTATTTCCTGACTTGTGTTAATACATAATATAGATGTTAAAGGAACTTCGGTTAGTGAACTGATATATAATTCTTTTAAATACCAGCGGGTGTTTAAACTTGAAAGTGTTATTTATTTATTTATTTTTTTCCGGCGATGCCCTGGAAATTCAAATTAAGGAGCTTTTGTTTCCGCTTATGTATAATATGTACATCTTGAGAGTTGAGTACATCTAACTGTCACTGGGGCGGCTGAGCCGTATATTCTTAGGAATACATAGTAATTCATGTATATTGTCTTCTTAAGTATTTATTTCTAATATTGAAGAGTAATGTCTGTTTTCTATTCGGTCGAAACAAATGTCTGTTTTCCATTCAGCATTGCTTTTCTCCCTTATTCAACATTGTATTTATCTCTCTGTCAATTTGTATAAGCTAATTATATTATATTTTCTTCTAGTTGAACAGCGAAAGCAGCCAAGTTTAAGGGGCTTGCCTACTGCTGTCATACAGTACAACTCATATAAAGGTGGGGCCTTAATTGCTGTGAGCTATGAGGCCCGTAAATATGGTGTGAAGCGGTAAGGACTCTGCATAAAGAAAGTGCTTCAAATCTTTGACGGTTAGAAGTTAACCATTTACTGAATTTCTTCAGTTCAATGAGAGGTGATGAAGCACAGGAGGTGTGCCCGCAAATTCAGTTGGTTCAAGTCCCAGTAGCACGTGGTAAAGCTGACCTCAACACATATCGTAATGCAGGTTCAGAGGTGATTTGAGAACAGAACTTTAACTACCTTAAAATATGTTTTCAACGATATCATTTTACTGAGATTGAAATAACTGAATTTCATGTTTACCAGGTTGTATCAGTCCTTGCGAGCAAGGGTCGTTGTGAGAGGGCTTCAATTGATGAAGTTTATATGGATCTTACTGAAGCTGCCGAAGCAATGCTAAAGGAATCTTCTCCAGAAAACCTGGATGATATTCATGAGGAAGTTCTCAAGTCACATGTTTTGGGGCTCCATGTTGAGGTCAAAAACTATGCTTAAAAGATATTGCACCTTCTATGCTCTTTTTCTTGATTTTAAGGAACTATATCTTGTATATTCCGATGCTTAACAGGTTTTATTTATTTATTTCTGCTTCCTGTGTTAATGCTAAATCGATGGTTGGTCTTCTGAAATCAACCAATTAACATATAAAATCCATTGGAAGTCATACTTATTCATAAGTCATGAATAGTACAACTCATCTTAGCCTCTATGCAACATATGGGCTCATATTTAGTTAATCTTATAGCCTGTTAAGCATGAGAGGCATGACCATGTGAACTTCACTGGAAAATGATTTTGCATTCAGGATGAACGTGATGCGAAAAGAGAAGTTAGGAAGTGGCTTTGCAGGAGTGATGCTGATTACCATGATAAACTATTGGCTTGTGGGGCCATCATTGTTGCTGAACTCAGGATGCAAGTGTTGAAAGAAACTGAATTCACATGTTCTGCTGGTATTGCTCATAACAAGGTGAGAAGCAGGCTCAATATGCTTTGATGTCTTTTCTCTTGTCTTTAACTACCAACTTTTCTACTTAAAGATGATTCTGTGATCTTTATATTGCCATTGACTTGTATCATATTTTGTTCACAGATGCTTGCTAAACTTGCTAGTGCTATGAACAAACCTGCACAACAAACTATTGTGCCACGTTCATCTGTCAAAGGATTGCTCGAGTCTTTTCCAATAAAGAAAATGTATTTAATTAATTATACTTTATAATTTCTTCTATTAAACTACTAAGTCAATTTGGGTTAACTTTTAAGCCATACCCTATTGAGCTTATATTTCTTTTTATGTTTTTGACAATATCAACAAAGCTGAGCCAGCTTTGTTGACGAGGAGATTGGTAATCTCTTTTGAGCTATTACTTGTGCAATTTTGATAATGCATGATGTTGAAGAATGTTTGCTTTTCAGGAAACAGCTTGGGGGAAAGCTGGGGAGTTCTTTGCAAAGTGATCTTGGTGTCAATACTGTTGGCGAGTTGCTTAAGTTTTCAGAGGAGAAGCTACAACAACGTTATGGAATCAATACGGGGTGACTATCTACCTTTTAATATTTGTTACACTTGTAGAATACTAGAATGTTGGTGGCTATATATTATTGATTTATTTGTGCAATCCTACATTTTTAAACTAGCAATTTTTGTTTCCTAAGTTAATGCCATGGCATCTATTACTGCTATGTAGAAGGCATGATTATTTTGACCCAAATTACATGGGGTATTGCGTGCATTTCAAGTTTTGTGCATACAGGACTCCTAGTTTTACCTTGCTTCATGGCTATTGGTTGTCCATTTGTGTCTTTTTAGCAACCTGTAATCTGCCATTCCTGATTCTACCTATTACAGCATTGCAGTACTTGGCTATGGAATATTGCAAGAGGTATCAATGGGGAAGAAGTGGAAGGGCGTCTACTACCTAAGAGCCATGGTTCTGGCAAAACATTTCCTGGGCCTCAGGCTTTGAAGACAATTTCTTCAGTAATTATCCTCCTCTAAACTTGTCAAATCACATGCGACTTGATTTATGGTGACACTGCTTTCTGCAGCATGGTATTTAAATGGCTATTTGGCAGCAATAGCTTCTATAAATATAAAATGTCATTTGATGCACTAAATCATTAATTATGGAAAGCTGTATCTAGATTCAGTTGTTATAGTTACATATGTTCTAATGATGCTCTAACCATCTCAATGTGCAATGATTAACAATTCCATCCTAAACTTCAGCCTAATAATTCTGTAATAGTCTGATGTTCTTCAATATCCACGTTTTAGAAGTGGTTCCATTTATGGTTTATCTCTTGTGACTGCTATTCTTTCTTCATTTTTACAAAATCTGCTTGTTGGGAATACCGTGAAACTTGGGCCTTTGGACCATATGCTTCATGTCATATCATACAATTAACTAATTTAGTCTTGAAATTTGATGAAGCATGCTCCTTTCTTTTGGCTTTTGAGGTCTTTTCAGCAATATACAATCCGAAAGTCTTATTTCTGATCACTTAATTACAATTTTTGCTATTGAGATTTCCTAGATCATCCACTTTCAGATTTGCAAACATGGCAACTTTCACTTTCAATGGTGTATCGAATCTTAAAGGACCTCTTTCTTCCTATTTCTTCTGCTTGATTCTACCAATTCTTCTTAACTGTTGAGATCTGCCATGTTCCCTGCCCCCTCTTATTCTGTAATTATCCCAAGTCTCAACTATCAAATTGATGTTGAGTCTTAAAGAGTCTCCGACATGTGTGTGCAGGCTGAGGGGCTTTTTTTTTTTTTGGATGAAAATAGGCTGACTTGCATATCACTGACATAAAATGAGACCAAATTACTTTTCTTTTGGAAGGGAAATATATAATTATAAGGGATTCCTTTTGTTTAATTACATAACAGAGGAGTGGATGTTAAAGAAAATATGCCCACGGCGAAACATAGTTTATTGAAGGCAGCGTGATTCCATAACATGGTTTAAATCCTTTTTTTTCCCTTAAATCTTTGCACAGTTTATTTTCTCATTACTATTTTTTGTTGTTTATTGGATCAGATTCTCTCATTGCCCCAAAATAATTGAAATGCCTTAGACTCTTCAATTTTCTTAATGAGTTTACTGGCTGGCTTCTTTTGAGAAATTTGTTATTGGATTTTTATTAGTTAGATGACTTGGAACTCGACTCACAGTTTCACATGCAAGAAAATCCGTTTCATTACATTGCTTTGTACTGTTATTTGTTTCTTTCTTCAGGTTCAGCACTGGCTTAATCAATTGTGTGAAGAGCTGAGTGAGCGTCTTCAATCTGACTTGGATCAAAATAAGCGTATTGCACGCACACTGACTCTGCATGCTAGAACATATAAGGTGGCTTTTCTATAACTGATCTGTGCATGATTTTCTGTATTTAGATAAACGTACTATTCTCACTTTTTCATTAGTCTTTTATTGTAAACTAGATGTAAGCCTTGTAGTTGTACGGAATCTGAAATGAGTAACATTGTTCATGACTTATAAATAATGCAGCTTACTATAAATTTTATGTTATATATCGAGACATTGATTATGAATTTTTTTAGTAATTTAATTCTATTTTATTTTATCTATTGAGGTTTTTCTTTGACAACAGGGTGATTCGGATTCGCATAAAAACTTCCCTTCTAAATCCTGTCCACTAAGATATGGGGCTGCAAAGATTCAAGAAGATGCTATAAATCTGTTTCAAGCTGGATTACGTGAATATATTGGCTTTCACAACAATAAATCTCAGGGAAGCCAAAACAGCAGTTGGGGAATAACATCACTTTCTGTTGGTGCAAGTAAAATGGTCAACATACCATCTGTAAGTTTGAATTGTTGTGTAAATATAAGCTGTATTTCTTGTGTTCAACTTGTGGCCTCTGACATGGGCTCACCTTGAAATAGTGAGCTATTGTGCTGGATTTCAAAGTCGAAAGAACTCTGCACTAAGATGCTATTTGCTTGTTCCTTCAGTTATTGATACAAGTCGGGTTGTAAATTAGTTCATCATTTCATTTAGATGCTTTCATACGTTGACATATTTACTAGAAGCATTTGAATTGAACCAGGCTAGTTGCCCATGATCATATGAGGTCGTCAACTGCTAATGTTTGTCCACTTTTTTACCTTGGAGATATTGAGTATTACACTAAATCTCCCTTCAAGTTGGGCTGCATTGCCCCTAATATTCTTTTTGTTTTAAAAATCACTCTCGGGTCCCATTACATTTGATATGTATTGCAAAAACCTCATTTCTAATTTATTTTTTATAGCAACATAAATATAAATTTTCTGCACAATATGCATTGCTTTGAAAAGTAGAATTTCTTAATTATCTTGATATCAATTTAACAGTTCTGTGGTTACATTAACGTTAGAATAACATTTTCATATTATTTAAAAGATTAACTTCTTTGACTATAAGTAAATTGAAAGTTTTTGCAGTTTATATCAAATGTCAATGGAGTTTTGTATAACTTTTAAAACAAGAGCGGTGTGTATCAAGTGTCGTTTAGCGAAATTCCATACGTTAGTGTAATTTACTCAAACATATTTAGTTTGCTTGGTGGAGCATAGCAATTTTTCTTTTGGATAATTATATTTCAAAAACTTAAGTCTTTTGAATTGTATTGTTGCTAGGGAACACATTCAATTGTTAAATACTTTGGTGGGCAATTGCCACCCTCCTCATCTCTGAAACAGCCCCCAGAAAATGTAATCCATGAAGCTGCCCCATCTTCACCTTCAGGTTATGTCATATCATCAAGTTGAATTACTTGTTAATTTTTTTTCCCTCCATTCCATATAATCTAACGGTGGCAGTATGCCAAAACAGGCAGCGAAAGTTGTTCGGGATTGAATTCATATGAATCACAGCTTGGATATCCTGAAGAAGACACAAGAGTGAAATATTTAAAGGCTAGTTTTGGTGAACAGGTTCAAAGCTTTTATGTGGACTTTTAAAATAATCCATTGGTTTGGTTGCTGTATATGTTATTTAGAAACATGAAATAATCCACAAATTTGATTCCTCTTATATAATAGCTTACCAGATGCATGGCTTTTATTAGGCGAAGCCTCTAAGCTCAATTTTATCAAGAACAAACATAAACAGTACTTTCATGTCAGAAACGATTTCTAAGGAATCTGTTCTGTTGAAACAAACAAAAAATAGTCCTCTATGGATATTTCTGTTGCCCGTAAATGTCAGGTGCTGCTTCTAGTCTTAACTTGTTCATTCTTTCTCACGGCTTAATAGCAGTATCTGGGTTAGCTGGTTAGTTACTTTATTGTAATTGATCCGCGTCCAACTACATTAAGCCCCTTTATCAAAGAATATCCAGTACTTCTAATCTGCGTACTTTTTCTATTTACATCTTTTATGTTGCTTCTCTTACCGCTCTAGTTTAAGTTATAAAAATATTAATTATTCTGGAAAAGCACTCAATTATCTTAAGTTTTTTGGTCGGCTGCGGATCCTTTGGTTTCATTTTAAAGGGCCTTCTGTCCCTTGTATTTTCATTTGTATCTGTAGAATTTACACAACCATTCCTTTTTGTAGAGTTTATCTTCCTTTAAGTTTTCAGGATTCTTTTGGCTTCACAGCACTGAACATCCTGTGAGCTTATTTGATTACCCACTTTTAGTTTCATCACCTAATCCTAGGATTTCTAATCTGTATAAATTTTAGTTTATTAAAAGATGTTCTGCTGGATGGTTTACTACTCTTTGCTGAAGTTAGTTAGGAAGTTACTAATCAAATATCTCTTGAAGACTCTTGCAACTTTGTTCCAGTTTTTGGTAACCTATGACACAGATATTTATAAGGATTGATTGACAAAGACCATGCCAAAATGATGTTTATAGAAATATAGGATAGTGATTGTAACTGGCAAAATCGGTTTTATTTCTGGCTCGTAGGCACCTTTGCCCGTTATTTTATCTGGGCTTCAATGTTCTAAACTTTCCAACCCTGCTGGCCTCTCAATTTTGACACAGACTAACTGATATTTCTTGTGATAATCTTCTCAATTGATAACTGATGCCATGATCCTCGTTTATGGATATATGCTCGAGTCCTTTTAATTGTATGACCTCTGACTGCCTTTTTTTCTTTGACAACATGACCTCTGGGTGCTTTGATGATATAATTTTCCTTCTTTGCCTACAATAACATGTCAAATCAACTGCTTTTATTATCTATATGCAAATTCATTTTTAGCAGAAGACGTGAAATCATATTTTTAAAATTAAGATACAGTTGCAGGACTCATCTTGCGACTTATCCAGGCAGGGAGATGGCTTGACTGAAGAATCTCCCCTTTCATCCTCCCAAGGTACAAGATTTTACACTGACTTTAATAACCTTGTTTTCATTTATCTCCTCCCCCCCCCCCCCTCGCTTCCCATCTGACATTGTGACCTGTGGCAGCTTTTCATTCGTGGAATGAAAATGGAACAACTGAGAGAGAGGCACAACCAGAGCCTAAGCGCATTCATGCTATTCCTACATTGAAAGCGGTTGTGAAGAAAAATACAGCTAAAGAAAAGGTTCTAGTGTGCTCTGTGAGATGATTTTAACTGATATACTTTGTCTGGGTTCTAGATCTTTATCATGTTTCAGACTCTATCGGTCGGTCAAATAAAAATTGCTTCTTTTACTGGGCATTACAAAGTTTCTAGTGTACTCTATTACTACCACTTCGAAAGCTTAGGAAATGAAAAGAACGGGGATTTCACTTTCCAGTTCAATTGTTGTCGTTAATATGGAGGTTGAACCATGAATATAATGTCAATGTAAGTTACTAACTTCTATATATATGGCTACAGGGCAATTGCTCAATTTTAGAACTTTTCAAGAATTACAGTGATCAGTGTACTTCTTCGGAGAAGCAGCATGCTACTAATGCCCAAACTGGAAAAACATCATCAATAGGTAATCTTCTAATCCACTTCCTATTATCAGAATACACAGATATGTAGATGTATCAAGTGAGATGAGGGACGTCTGATAAGAAGTGGGAGAAATAACTATTCATTATTATATTACAAATCAATGGTCAAGCTTAATGAAGAATCATTATGCGTAAGAAATTATATCTTTCTTGATTCTGCATTATTAATCTGTGATTTCTCCTGTGAACGCATGAATGGAGATAATCCAATAATATGCCCTCTGCTTTGTCTTCCATATTCTTTTAAGCGACATAAATCTGCAGGATCTGAGTCTAATTATAATAGTGATTCAACATGTAATCAAGTTGAGTCGCTAAAAGAGATCTATTGCGAAGCAATTGGGACAAACAATCGGGGAAGTAGTTCAACTCAAGCGGTAGAAGGAAGACCATCATGGAGTTATAGAATGGAGGAGATTGACCCCTCTGTAGTTGATGAGTTACCACCAGAAATTCAACAAGAGTTTCGAGCCTGGCTTAGGCCCCTTAAGCGGCCCAATGTAGTTAAAAGAGGTTCTATCATTACCCACTATTTCTCTGGCAACAAAAATTGACCAACATGATTCGATTAGTGGTACTGTTCTACTGTAAATAATGACACTGATATTTCAGGTTAAAATATTAGTATATGTATAGTGATTTGTTTCAACAGGCTTAGTCAAGGAATGGCGTTGTGTTGTATGATAGGTGCTGTAGTGTGAATGTGATTGGTCTCATATTTTATTATTCATTCCTCTAGTGTTGAATCCCAAGAAAGCTGGCTTTGGAGAATCTTGTGCAAATCGATTTTGGATTTTTTTCCCCCCCGTGGTAGATAAATAATTGTATACAGTGCTCATGAGGTGAGGTCTTTGCTTTTGCCTTTATCTTATTGTGTTTTGATGATCTCGATAGTTCCTGTTTGCCATATTACGTGTTATGTAATTAGATTCTATGTTGCCTCACATGCTATTCCATTTATACAAACGAAGTGCCTAGTCCCTCCAAATCCCTTCAAATATAAATACAAGATTTCGTTAACTAATTTATGAAGATTAAAAGCATTAGTTAAGTTATTTATAATTAGTATATAAAAAATGTCACCTTTCCAAAAATATCTCTTGAAAAATGTATTTGGATAATTATTGAGTATGAAAACTGATTTATACATGAAGGATTTGAGACTTTAGAGGTAAATTGTTTATGTCGTGGGATTTTAAGAGTATTTAATTAAGCATTGCCCTAATCTTAGTGTTAGGGGTCAATTTACCTAAAATTTTTGTTAAATAAATAAATAGCATTAATATGTTAATGTTAATGATAGTATAAATCTTGTTTAGAAGATAACATTTGTCCCTTGTTTGTTGACCAAATGAAGCAATGAAACGTAAGAACCTAATACCCGACTAGGTTATGAGCAAAAACAAAACAAGCAACGTTTGAAGCTTTCGTCATTTTGAGCATCTCGCCACGCAAAATTCAGGAGTTGCATCTGTACAATAGTTGCTGTGAATTGAACTTATAATAAGGACTCGGGTGGTATTTGTAGTACCTGTGTTTTAATTTTGGATACAAAAAATTTCAGGTGATTTGAGTTACCAGGATTAGGACATGTTTTCAGATTTAAAGAGTATTTACAGAGATAGTTACAAGGTCTTTTTTCTTCCTTTTTTTTTTTGTGCTAAAGCATAGGTATCCTTCTATTGAAGGTAATCCTATTTAAAATACTGTCAGGTACTAAATATGGGTATCTCTTTCCGCGGGGATTCTTCTTATTGGTTGCTGGATTTGTACTCATAGTTATAAGCAAACTTCTTACATATTGGACCAATTCTTGTTTGCTGGTAGGTGTGTTTTTTTCATTGGAGACGCAAGCCTAATTGGGCTAAGAAGCGAGCCCAAGGACTGTAAGGTCAAGGTTGTCATTCAATTATTTTTTTAAAGGAAAAAAAATCTAATTATTTTATTTAGGGTGACGTAATGAGTGGTAGTAATTTATTTATTTAATAAATAAGGTCGGAAATTCCAAAGTTTTGGCGCAAAGGAAACAGAAACAAGAGGGACACGTGTGAGCATAACATGACGTTGAAATAAGGAATCCAAAATCCAATCCACGGTTTTCATAGGCAGCGAATGGTTTTGGTAAAATCTAAATACTGTTTTTGCTTTCGCCCGTCCACGGTTTTCTGTTGCTCTTCCCCTCACGCTTCTCCTCTTTTTGCTTATCTACCCCTCCCACTTTTCGTATTTTCTCCTGAGTCCTCAGCATCAACATAACGCATTATTTGATTTTTGTTTTTTTCAAAAGCAAAACCACCTGCTATTCGAAATACTTTTATGTTTAATGACATGATTCTTTATATAGTGTAAAATCACTTAAATTAAGTTAAATAAAATATCCATTAAACTCATTTTATCTAAGCTAAGATGTATTGATCTTTAATTATTATTTCTTATCCTATATGAGTTTGCATGGCAGGCCCATAAAAATAAAAGGAAAAAATGTTGTTGGAGACCCATATGCTTTATTAAAATTGGTTTACACAAATTTTTGAGATTTAGCGTTTAGAAAATGTTAAAAATTCTCGTTGTATATATTGAAATTTATTAGCTCTTTTAAATATATTGAACTGTGAATAGTCCATAAAAGCAATTATAAAGTCTTATGATTCAAAATTAAGTGAACTGAATTATGATGAATTTAATTTTTAACTAAAAAAATATTTTATATTTCTTGATAAATTATAAAGAACAAACCTATAATAAAAATTATAATATAAATACTCTAAATCAACATACATTTAAAAATTAAATTGGAGCTTGTGTTAAGATAGACTCCCTACTTATACCCAAAAAAAAAAAAGGATTTACTCCCGACAAATTTTATATTATACTTAAATATGTAAATGGTTAGGGGAGGAAAAACTAGCGGTACATAAATGAATTTTTAATTGATGCAAAATTTATGAAAATTAAATTATTGATAAATAGTAAACTACATGAAAAATTACCTATACATATAATTTTCCGATATATTTATATTCTATAAAATACTACATCCGGTCTTATTTATAAGAGCTAGTTGACTAATTTGAAGAGATTAAGAAAAAAAAGTTAAGTTAGTTATTTATAATAAATATGTATTGTCTTTCCTAAAATATCCTTACTAATCAAGTATATTGGCTAAAACTATTATAGTTAGAAGGACTATTTTAAAAAAAAAAAGATAAATATGAGAGATAAAGTGGATTGAGATCTTATATTTAGAATCAAAATAAGAGTTTAATAAAGTCTTATATTAAGAACTGGAGGTAGTATATTACTAAATTTAAATAAAATAACTCTTATAATAAAGTTTTTACCGTAAATTTATAAATTCCAAGCCTGCAACTTGCAATGAGTCACTCGGGATGTAAAAATATTGGGGAGTTGTTGGGGCGTAGGTGCAAATGATGCATAATATGAGGGCTAGAAATGAAATACGCATCGAATCAGGGACAAAAATGGGGATCCGACAGCGAAAAACCTCCTGCTTTGCTTTCCACTTCCATTATATGCAAGAAGGAAAGCTCCTCTCTAACTCTCTCATATAAAAATGTGCCTCTCGTTTTTGGACTCTTCCATGATTGTTTGGTAGCTGAAACCAGTTATTTCAAAGCTATTGGGATTGGGCCATACCTGCTCTGCTTCTTCTTCTCCATCAGTAAAGCTAGTGGTATGAACAAAATCATCCCGTTTGATTTTTTTGCTCATATCTGGAAAGGGGTTGAACAATTTTGTCCAGATTGATCATCAGCTTTGCATGTTTCTTTCTCTTACGATTTGTCCAAATCGATTTCGGCTTCGTTTTTGCTCCTTCATCAGTGGTTTTCTTCCTCTTGATCGGACATTCAGTTTTTCTTTTCTTGTTCTAGTTCTTGAGCATCTTGTGATAGATACGTGATGCTAGCTGATGACAAGCTACATTATCTACCCAAGTCAAAACAGCGTAAATCCCTTTAATTATTTTACATTAATTTTCTTTATGGTTTTTAGTTAGCACATATCTTAAAGTAGTTTGAATAAAATTGTCTTTTAATTAAAAAAAAACTTTTTTTTTTTTTTTTGGTGAGGACCTTATATTAAAGGTAGGTCCCTTGCCCGGGGATCTACGTATAAATTCACTTTATATTGCTAGTCCTGTAAAACCGTAGGTTCACAGCCATTAAAGATGCTTATTTTCAAATGTGAGTTAATAGATTCGCGTGGGAACGTTTCTAAGATGTATATTAGCCATCCAGAGGGCTATAGGGTAGGTGGGTCAGTTGCATAGATACACCTTCTTGTTTATTAGGAAAAGGATGAGTTTGTATCTCCCTATTTCCTTTCTTTTAAATTTCTTAAAATTTTTTAGAGAGATAACCAATCGGTTTCTTTTGTTATAAGTTTTATTGCTGTTTAAAAGGTAAACCCAAGGAAAAAGAAAAAGACAGATTGTAAGAAAGAATGGAACACTGGTCCTTTGATGTTTCGTATGTTAATGCTTTGAAAGGTACTTAATTGTCATCTGATACGGTTCAGATATTGTGACTTCTTTTTCTGGCGTTGAAGTCTCGTAATGGGTACTGTTACTTTGAGTCTGAGAAGTATGAAATAAAAAGTAAGATGGTTCATTGCTTCATTATGTTTGTATAAAGGTCGGTGTATATTGACAACAGTAATAGACAGTAGAAAGGAGTTCTTTTCTGGACATGGTATATTAAGAGAGTCATTCAAACCAAGCTTCTACATGTGAAATGTATAATGCGATAGCTAGATAGCTAGAGAGCTAAATAGACTGTCTCTGAGGCTCAAACTGCAACATAGACGTTCAAGTCCAGTCTCTCTGGCATGTGAGAGAGAAGCTCCTTCAATAAACCGTGCATGAAACATTTGAGAAGCTCCAAATTTATCCATAAGCCACAATGTTTGTTAGGAGAGATACAAATATATGATCTTCATTTTTATATTATAGCATTACTAATTCTCCTATTCCAGAGTGTTTTGAGATTGATGTTCTTTTTACTGCAAGATGGATAAAAGCGCACGTCAGTATTTTATTTTATTTTTTTGGTTATTTTTCTTAACTTGCATTACAATTCCAGTCTTTTGAGTGTGTTTACGGGATATAATTGAGTAAAGCTTCTTTGAGGACATCAAATGCAATTCAGAAATCTTCGTGCTTTTTTGAAACATTGAGTGGAACTTAAATGCTAGTATGTACACTGCATCTCACAGACTAACACTTGTACATTCACTTTGACATATGGAACCTCTTTCTTTTATTTTTCTGCCTGTATTTATCTGAAATATCAATCCTATTTAATGTTGGACGCTGGTTAAGCCTCAAATTTGTATTTTTGCAGCAAAGGTTTTCTCTCTGTTTCTTCAGTAATGTCATTAGATATAGTAATTCAGTATTATAAAGCAAACATACCCTTATCTATTACTTACAGTCTGTCAGCATGCAAACAATAATTTAACTATGTAAGCTTTGTTTCAATCTTCCCATCTCAAAACTAACAAGTTGACTTTGGAATCATACATGCAGGAGGACTTTCTTGAAAGGGTGAAGGAGTTCAGTAGTTTACTTCATCAGTTGTTGTCTCTAATCAAGGTAGTGGAAACTCTTCTGACCAATATCTCAGACACCAAGGGCTTATACTTCATAATTTGTGCCACTATGTCTATCTTACCGAGACTACGCTGCATCACTGTGGATGTTACTGGTACCCTAATAGCTTACAAAGGGGAGCTTGGTGACTACTATTGCATGGCAGCCAAATCTGTTGGCCTACCATGCCCAGACTACAAACGTGTGCATGAGGGCTTTAAATTTGCATACAAAGACATGGCAACGAAGTATCCATGTTTTGGGTTTGATGCCAAAATGTCCAACATTGTGTGGTGGAAAACCTGCGTGCGAGATTCTTTTCTCAGGGTAAGATATCTGACAAAGCCATTGCAGTTGCGGGCACTTCTTATCATGATTGGTAGTTCATATGAGCATGATGCATTTTGGCCCAAGGAAAAAATATGAGCATGGTGCATAAGGACGCTAACATATTTAGTTAGATTCTAATTAGGCTTTTCAGATTATTAGCACAGGAATAATGATAATAATTAGAGAAAATTATTTAAAATTATCTAGTCTTTTTTAGAAAACGCTATCTTTCTGTCTATTTCTATAACCAATATTAACGTCTCTTGGATTTTTGTCAAATTACATAGGTCTTTCTTCTAACTTTGAGGATCCAGAGAGGAGTCTCTCAAAACAGAGAATAAATTGCATTGACCTCTAATCAATTTTGTTGAATTTATACTCAAAGTCCACCCTTGAAAGTAGAAGGAAGATGTGTGTAATTTTTTTTCTTTAAAAAACATAAAAAGAAGTTTGTGTAATTTAATTTTGTTTGCAATGAAGGTTTGTGTAGGTTGTAAAAATGAGAGGTTCATGTAACAAAAGAATTTATATGCCCTCTTTTTTTTTTGGGTGCTCAACTGTATTATAAGCTATTATAAGAAAGCACCGAGTTACAATCCTTTTTGTGCAAATTTCATTTAAAATGACGAGAGGAAAAATCTGATGTTTGTGGCAGGCTGGATATGAATACGATGAGGAGACGTTTGAGAAGATATTTAGACGAATATATGCATCCTTTGGTTCATCTGCTCCTTACAGTGTGTTTCCGGACTCCCAGCCATTTCTGAGATGGGTCCGTTCAAAGGGCCTTAAAGTTGGCCTTGTGAGCAATGCAGAGTATCGTTATCAAGATGTCATACTGCCATCCTTGGGTTTAAATGAGGTAATCTACCTATCGTCATTATCTCACTTTGTTATCTCATCTGATCTTTTGGAAAATTATCCTCAATTTTGTTCCCTTTTTGTGTAAAGTTTTGGTGAGTAAAAGGGAAAATGCTCTGTCACAATCATTCCTGTGATTTTGAGGACCCAGATCAAAAGTTCTGATAGCATTGGGTATAGTCATATACTTGTATGTATGCGTGTGTATTAAAATCTGGAGGAGGCTGGAATACTTGTGATATTTTCTGGGCATTTCTAATAATATTGAGTCTTATTTCTATTTTGGCATTTCTAATTTCTGGAATTTTAGCCCTGATAAACTTTCTAGTTATGAATCGGGAGTAGAACCAATAGGCGATGCTCGGTTATAGTTTAGAATCTGTTGTTATATGTGAGTCACAAAGCACTGCACCCTAGCCTGACTGTGTACAAAGTATAGGTTCACTGTCTGGTGTTTGTGCGTGCAAAGGGTCTGTATTAAAAATTTTGATAACAAAACTTGTGTGATGTTTGAGAAATGCAGGGCAGTGAGTGGGACTTTGGTGTGTTTTCTGGTCTTGAAGGAGTCGAGAAACCGAATCCCAGAATTTATGAGATTGCTCTTGAGAGGGCTGGAAATATTGCCCCACAAGAAGCTCTTCACATTGGAGACAGCATTCGCAAAGACTATGAACCAGCCAAGAGCATAGGTATGCATGCCCTGTTATTGGACAGATTCGAGACTCCTGATGCTGAGAATTGGAGAAAATCTGGGGCCGTTGTTCTTCCTGACTTAGTGGCAGCTCAAGAATGGCTCTCTTCTGAGAAACCAACTTCCTAGAGCAGCATTTTTAGCTCAATAATGTCTTATGTTGAGATTTTATCCCTTTACTGATTCATATGAATATGAGAAATTGAGGTCGCTGGCGGGAATCTTGGCTCAAATTTTCCTGTGTAAGTTGATATTACAATTTAGGGGCAGACTGGGAATTTGATGGAGAGGCAGCTTGCTTTTCAATTTCCTGCATCTGAATTCAGTTGTCATTTAGGCATATTCAAATGTTCTTCAGAATGACAGAATATAACGCAATGAATTGACAAACGGAATTAAAAAAATGAGTCATATAAAGAAATGGTCTCTATATGTGTTCATGTGGACATACAGACAAGAGTCTGAACTTTTAATTTTGTTCATATCTCATCTTATTTTGACTTGAAAAAAAGAAGGATTTTTTACTTTTGTTTTAACCTTTATTTTTTACTTAAGAGTCCATTTAAAGGACAAAAATCAAAACCACGTACAGATGGTACGGAACAATTCATGCCAAAGAAAAATAATTCTTATATAGCATATAATTTATTTTCTTTTTTCCTATAAAAATAAGTTAAAAAAAAAAACTTCTCTGACATTTCTCACATTTTTAAGAGTAAATTTCAGGTAAAATTATAATGTAATTCCAAGAAAAAATATATTAAAAAATTTCATGACAAATGAATATCAAGTTCAAAAGTAAGAAAATGATAAACATTTATGATTCGTACTGTTCACTTGTGATTTTTGTTTTTTTAATGATCATACTCCTTTAATTCAAAATATAAATCTATTTTATAATATAATTTATATTATAAAATAAGTTTTATCTTTAAAATAGAAAGGAATATATATATATATATATATATATATCTTAGTAGGGCTCTAGTCATTGTCTTTCCAAATTTTAAAGGTCTTCTAGTCAATGGTCATAACTATCAGCCCCGCGAGTGAACTTGTGCTCTCATCTCATAACTCCAACAGTTCGATGCGAGGTATATCACACGAGATATCGTGATGTCATAACATATCACCTTGCAGTTTGGTTTGGATAAGGAAGATAGAAAAGGTGTGAGCAACTGCGTTCAACTGCAATAACTACCTTAACCGTAATGTCGGCTTTAACCCTCCTCCTTCCACCACTCTCTCCTGCCTTCTCTTCCTCTTCTCTTCACAATCCCCTTCCTTTAACCCACCTCTCCGGCGTCGGCCACGGCAGCATCGCCGCCGCCACCAACTCTGTAACTTCTCCTGTCTTCAACTTCTCCGCTACCTCCACCACTTCTTCTAACGTTGAACCTCTATTGCAATCTCGTTCCCCTTCCTCATGGATCGAAGAGCTTCGCTCGCTAGCTCGATCCAATCAGTTCGACCAAGCCATTTTCGCATATATAAAAATGATGATCTTGTCGGATATTCAACCCGACAATTTCGCTTTCCCTGCTGTTCTAAAAGCCGTAGCGGGCATTCAGGATTTGGATTTGGGCAAACAGATACATACCCATGTGGTGAAACTTGGGTATGCTTTGTCTTCTGTGACCGTGGCTAATTCCCTTGTTAATATGTATGGGAAATGTGGAGATATTGGGGGTGCGTACAAGGTGTTCGAAAGAATAACTGATAGAGATGAAGTTTCGTGGAATTCGATGATTTCTACGTTATGTAGATTTGAGGAGTGGGAATTTGCTTTAGAGGCATTTCGGTTGATGATTTTGGAAAATTTGGAGCCTAACTCATTCACTTTGGTGAGTGCTGCTCTTGCTTGTTCCAACTTGCGTAAGCACGATGGGATCAGGCTCGGAAGGCAAGTGCATGCCTATAGTCTGAGAAGAGGGGATTGGAGATCATTCACAAACAACGCTTTGATGGCAATGTATGCAAAATTAGGAAGAGTCGATGACTCAAAAGCTCAATTTGAGCTCTTTGATAACAGAGATTTGGTCTCTTGGAATACCATTATTAGTTCGTTCTCACAAAACGATCATTTTATGCAGGCCTTATTTTATCTTCGGCTTATGCTTCTTGATGGAGTTAAACCTGATGGGGTTACATTGGCAAGTGTTCTTCCTGCTTGCTCCCAATTAGAGTTGTTAAATACCGGAAAGGAAATACATGCATATGCCCTGAGAAACACTGATTTAATTCAGAATTTTTTTGTTGGTAGTGCTTTAGTTGACATGTATTGCAATTGCAAAGCAGTTGAAAAGGGTCGACTGGTTTTTGATGGAATATTGAAAAGGACGGTGGCTGTCTGGAATGCTATTATTGCTGGTTATTCACAGAACGAGTTTGATGAGGAAGCCTTAAATATCTTCATGGAAATGATATCTAGTTCTGATCTTTGTCCCAATGCAACCACATTATCAAGCATTCTACCAGCTTGTGCGCGCTGTGATGACTTTTTATGCAAAGAAGGCGTCCATGGTTATATACTAAAAAGGGGCCTACAGAGGGATAGATACGTGCTAAATGCATTAATGGACATGTATTCCAGAATAGGTAAGATAGAGGTTTCAAAATTCATCTTTGACACCATGCAGAAAAGGGATATAGTTGCTTGGAATACAATGATCACTGGTTATGTTGTTTGTGGAAGGCATGATGATGCGCTTAATCTTTTACATAACATGCAAGGAGAAGAAGATGAAGACAATCTCAGCACTGATGATGATTATGAGGATGATGGGGTTCCCCTCAAGCCAAACTCGGTAACACTCATGACAGTGCTTCCTGGTTGTGCTGCCTTGACAGCACTGGGTAAAGGGAAAGAGATTCATGCTTATGCCATAAAACAGATGCTTGCAACAGATGTTGCAGTAGGAAGTGCGCTAGTTGACATGTATGCAAAAAGTGGTTGCTTGCACTTAGCTAGAAGGGTGTTTGATCAAATGCCTATAAAAAATGTTATCACCTGGAATGTTCTCATCATGGCATATGGAATGCATGGGAAAGGTGAAGAAGCCTTGGAACTTTTCAGAAGAATGTCAGCTGAAGGAGCCAAGAACAATGGAGGAGTGAGGCCCAATGAAGTGACTTATATTGCTATATTTGCTGCTTGTAGCCATTCCAAAATGGTGGATGAAGGCCTTGCTTTATTTAACACAATGAAAGATGAACACGGGGTTGAACCGCAAGCTGACCATTATGCTTGTCTTGTAGACTTGCTTGGTCGCTCTGGCCAGGTTGAAGAGGCGTATAAGATGATCAATTCGATGCCATCTGACATGGATAAAATAGATGCATGGAGTAGCTTGCTCGGTGCTTGTAGAAATCACCAGAATGTGGAAATTGGTGAAATTGCAGCCGAGCACCTATTAGTGTTGGAGCCAAATGTGGCAAGCCACTATGTTCTTTTGTCTAACATATACTCTTCAGTTGGATTGTGGGACAAGGCAATGGATGTTAGGAAGAAAATGAAGGAAATGGGAGTAAGGAAAGAACCCGGTTGTAGTTGGATCGAGTTTGGTGATGAGGTGCATAAGTTTCTGGCAGGGGATATGACACATCCCCAAAGTGAGAAGCTGTATGATTTTCTTGAAACTCTATCAGAGAGAATGAGAAAGGAGGGATATGTGCCTGATACTTCTTGTGTGCTTCACAATGTTGATGATGAAGAGAAAGAAACTCTTCTTTGTGGACACAGTGAGAAATTGGCAATAGCTTTTGGCCTTCTGAATACTCCTCCTGGAACAACCATTAGAGTAGCCAAGAACCTTAGGGTCTGCAATGACTGCCATCTTGCTACTAAGTTCATATCAAAGATCATGGACAGGGAGATTATTTTGAGAGATGTAAGAAGGTTCCATCATTTCAGAGATGGAACTTGTTCTTGTGGGGATTATTGGTAAATAAATAAATATATACCTATATATGCATAAACGCGAAGGATTATTCATTTATTTATTTTAAGCTCGTTTTGTAAACGGAATTGGTGATTTTTTTAGTGTCAAGTCAAGCAAGATCTAGTTCAGCACATATATTAGTAAGCTGGGTGAATTTTACTTGGTTTTTGAGAGATGATTTAATGATGTGATTTCTTTCTTCCGTAAAATATTCATTCCTGTTTTGCACCTAGAGAAAATTCCTCATAACTAAATTTATTTTGATCAAAATATTTTTGAGTCAGTAAAACATTTCCAAATTTAGTGAGTTTTAAATCTAAAAGATAAATAATGAAAAACAGATATAGAATCAGTAGACAATTATAAGATTAAAGTATAATTTTAATCTTTTAACTTTACATAAGATTTTAATTTAGTTCCTTAACTTTAATTTTCATTCTACATAGTGTTTGAGATGCTGATGTCACGAAAAAGGTTCAAAAGCGAAATGAATGTTTTTTTTTTTTTGAATTACAAGGCAAGCATTACACTTGAAGGTTCAAAACAGAAAACATTATCCACTAAAAGGCGACGCAGCTCCCTGGCTGGAGCTTTCCCAGTCAAGTCTCAATTGGTCTAGGCATATGCTGAATACATTCCATTGCTACTGACATTGTGTGCGTTTCTGGCTAGGATATCAGCACACTTGAGTGCTTCTCTGTGTGTATGAATAATCTCAAGGTCCCAACAGGAGAGTACTAGAGCCCTTGTATCGTTCACCATCTCTTTTAGGGGATGAGTGGCGCAACAGTCTAACATCAGTAAGTTAACGGCTTCCATAGAGTCAGTATACAGTTTAATCCGTGCAAGCTCCATATCTTTGCAGACTTTTAGACCTTCATATATCGCTTGAAGCTCTGCTGCTGTGGTTGATGTGAATCCTAGGCATTTCTAGAATCCCATCAGCCACTATCCTCTTTCATCACGAACAACTCCTCCACATGCGCCATGCTTTTGACCTGTGACCGAGCCATCCACATCAATTCTGATTACTCCTTGAGGTGGTGCCTTCCATCTGCAACCTGCTCTATCAGGTAGTTGATAAATCTGGTGCTTTAGTCTATTTTCCTCCACGCTTTCCATCAGTTGGTGCAAGTAGTGATGATATACTTCTCTGGGTTGGGGATGCACTCCTTCGAAGGCTTGTTTGCATCTGCTCTTCCAAATTAGCCAACAAACCATTGCGAAGACTTTATGCCACGGCCAGCGTGTTAACCTTCTCGCTCCTGGATTGATCCTCTGATTTCTCTTTAACCAAACCTGCAAATTTCCACTAAAAAACACAGGAATATTACGGGGGTTAATGAATAGTGCCCAAATTCTTTTTGCAAACTCATAGTCTCTCAAAGCATGAATGATGGTTTCCTCACTATTACACTCATAAGGACACTCAGGTGGAGTATTAGAACAGTGTCTCGCTCTTAAGGCATTTGTGGGGATTCTCTCATGGATGACCTGCCAAAGGAAGAACTTGACTCTCTCAGGAATGTCCCATCGCCAGATCTTTTGCCACTGAGTGCTATTGATTTCTGATTGGTAGCTTTCTGCTTTGACTAGTCGGTAAGCAGATTTGACATTGAAGTTCCCATCGTTTGACAATCTCGAATGGAAGATATCATTTCTCTCCTGCTGAGTTGGTTTTACTAAGCAAATTTTTCTGATGACCCAACTTGGGAGTATCTCTTTCCACTTATCAATGTCCCAATTTCCACTACTTGTGATAAAGTGGTCCACCGTGGCTTCAGGATCAATAAGGTGGAAGTTTTTGACTGCATAATGTATAAGCGGCCTGTCCAGTGGGGTCCATAGTTCATTCCAGGCATTTGTATTTCTACCATTACCGATCTTCCTTCCTACTCCTGTAGTAAATTTCTCCCAAACTGAAATTATAGCCTGCCAAACTGCTGATTGCTTCCTCTTCTTTTCCACTGTAGGGTATTTGTCCTCTCCGCACTGGTACTTGTCCCTCAGACATTGAACCCAAAACACTTCTGGTCGGGTGAGTAGCATCCAGCACAGTTTCATGATGAACGCAAAATTTTGATATTGTAAGTCCCGAATCCTTAATCCCCCAGCCTTCTTCTCGCTCTTAATAGTCTTCCAAGATATGAGGTGCAATTTCCTATTGTTTGAATCCTATCTCCAGAAAAACTCCCTGCTTAACCTTTCAATCTCCTGCAGAACCCCAACTGGGAGGAGAAGAGTTTGCATCTGGTAGTATGGTAATGAGGATAACACCGATTTGATGAGTACAGTCCTCCCTGCCAAACTCAAATACTTGTTTTTCCAACTTGCCAATTTCCGGTTGACTTTTTGTATGATTGGCGCAAAGGTCAATTTAACTGCCCTTTTATGAAGAATCGGAACCCCCAAATACTTCCCCAAATCAGCTGTCAAGTTAACGCCTAACATTTAACTGAATATGTTTGCTCTAGTCGCATGTATATTCCTTGAAACAAAGACTTTAGATTTTTGGAGGTTTATGTTGTGACCAGAGACTTTATAGAAAAACATCATCACCTTTCTGATTTCAGTCATTTGTTCCTCGGAGGCTTCACTGAAAAGAACCAAATCATCTGCAAAAAATAGGTGGGATAGCATAGGACCTCGACTGCTCAACTTCATAGGTTTCCAGTTACCCTGTCTGACTTCAAAGTCTATTAGTTGCCCCAGCCTCTCCATGCAAAGAACAAACAGATAGGGACTTAGTGGATCACCTTGTCCAACCCCTCTGCTTGGCGAGAAGGTTTCAGATTGAGTACCATTCCAGGACACTTTCATTGTGGCGGTTGAAACACATCCCATAATGATTTGAACAAAATCTCCTCTCAAACCGATACTTCCTAAGGTGAAATTGAGGAAATTTCAGTCCAACCTATCATATGCTTTTTCCATATCAACTTTAACTGCTACAAACCCTTTCCCACCTCTTTTGGTTCTCATTGTATGAATTGCTTCTTGAGCTATGATAATATTATCACAACTCTGTCTACCCTTGATGAAGCTACTCTGATTTGGTTTTATCAATAAATCCATTACCCCCTTAAATCTGTTAGCTATCACCTTACTCAGAATTTTGTAACAGACATTACACAGAGATATGGGTCTGAAGTCCTTTAGAGAGGTAGGATGATCTACCTTAGGAATCAGCACAATCTTTGTTTGGTTTATCTCCCTGATAGTCGAAGGATTACCGAACATGTTGGAGATCATTGTGCAGATTTTCGGTCCCACAACATCCCATTGGGATTGAAAGAAATGAGCATGCAGCCCATCTGGTCCTGGCGCTTTGAAGGCCCCCATTTCAAACACTGCGTTTTTTATCTCCACCACAGAAACCTCCTTCTGAATGTCATCAAGTTGTCTTGTGGAGAGCGAAGGGAATTCCACTGGCCATGTGTTAATATGACTGACATTTGGGTCTTTAGAGTATAGGCTTCTGAAGTAATCTAAAGCCATATTGCTCATTTTCTTCTGGTCAGACGTCCAATTGCTAGTATCATCTTTTAGGGCTTCAATCCTATTTCTTTTCCTATTCATCATACAGGTTGCATGAAAGAAGCCGGAATTCTTATCTCCAAACCGAATCCATTGGCATCTTGACTTCTGGAACCAGATCAACTCCTCTTGTTGGCTTAATTTATTATAATCACGCCATAGACTTTGCTCTAATAGAAAAAGTCCATTGCAGGGATTAGCGATTTTAGCCATGTCTATGCCCTCCAACCGTCTGATGATTTCCCTTTTCTTCTTTGGAATGTTTCCCACGGTCTTCTCATTCCAGATGCCTGCTTGTTTTGTGAAAACTTGCTGTCCTTCCTGCCATTGTCGGTTCTCCCAGGAGGTTCTAACTAAATCTTTGAAGCCCTCCTCAAGACACCAAGCAGCTTGGTACATGAAAGACAACGGACCAGTCTTCTTGGGGTTAGTACCTCCCGAGACCACTATGACCCTGTGATCAGACTTGAATCTGAGGTGATGGAAGCACTTAAAATGAGGGTAGGAAATTTCCCAGTCAAAATTACATAATGCCCAGTCTAATCTTTCTCTAACCCCCTCTTTTTCCCACATGTAAGAATCCCCCACAACTGGAACTTCAAGCAGATTACAAGAATTTAGGCAATTCCTAAAGTGTGCCATCATCTGGCTTATCGGAGGGGCTCCTCCTATCTTGTCTTCTAGAGTGAGAAACGAGTTAAAGTCTCCCAAAACTAGCCATGCATGATCGGCCAGCTCTGCTACCTTCTTTAGAGCCTCCTAGAGATTTTTCCTTTTCGCTACTGTTGTGTCTTCATAGACAAAAGTAGTTAACATACTTTCCCCAGAAGCCATATCAGTAATTTTGCAGTGGAGAAGCTGAGTAGTTGACCAGATATATTCCACAGAGGTTTCCCAGTCATTCCATAACACCCAAATCCCTCCAGCAAACCCTGTAGCTTCTACTCTGAGCCAATTGTTAAAGCCCAATTTTCTGACCATTTTATCAGCCCTATCGCCACTTATTCGAGTCTCAAAGAGGCCCATAACATTTATACCATATTTCTTTATTACATCTTTCAGAATCCGTGGGAAAGATCTATTACCAGCCCCACGGCAATTCCATGAAAAAAGCGAAATGAATGTTTGTTATCAGAAATAGGCCCTATCCAAAGTACTGAACGTGCTCCAATTTGCTTACGTCAAGAAAAGCGGTATTTTGAGTGAATTTGGAGAAAAGGAAAAAATCTCTTATGGTTTCAATTTATCTCCTGTTTGTTTAGAGAATTTGGAAGCCTCCCCTTCAAATTTAGAGGTTTCGGAGGGAAGAGTTGTATTTTGATCACAACAAAATCATAATCCTTACTTTTTTGAAAGCTAAATAAAAAAATCATTAAAATTCGTCTAATCCCCTCCTCTCTAATTAAACTCAACTAGAAATTATTAAAATATTTCCCTTTCCTCTAGTAAAATCACTCCATTTCCTTCCATCCTCCATGCTAAATTGAAAAGACTCCTTAAAAGAAAAGTCAAGGTTGTATAGTCATTCACATTTGACTCTACATCCATTCGCTATCCCACACAATGTAAATTTACAAATTTTACAAAATTATTATATTAATAAAGTTCAAAATTTGATTCAAAGTAAATTTATAAGTTTACCCTGAATCAGATTTCATTATTCAATTTAAATGGCATAATTTTCTCTTACCTTTAATATATTTATTATAAAACTAAATATAATCTCCTCCGAATGAACCTTAAAAAAAAACATTGGACTTAATTGAAAAATCGTAAGCTTGAAATCTAGGCTGCCTAGATCTAACACTTGAATGAATTAAGAACGTCTTGATTTAGGGAATCCAAATCCTACATTGATATCAAAGTGAGCTTCATTTAAGATATTTTAGTTAGTTTCGTCTAATTGGTTCCACTTTAACATCACATCCTTTTATATAGCTTTTAAATTCACCTGGGGCATCAATAAAGAAGTAGAAAGAGTGAAAACCATAGAAAGAGAAGCATGGATAACCTAAGCATTATCTGTATAACCACGCATGTCACAAAATTTCTCACATAATACAACCTAGTGACTTGAAATCAGAAGAGTAATCTGTCTCGATAGATGTCCAATGCTTGGATGACTTTCTCTATGAACAACTTCCGGTGCAATCTGTACCTGCTCATGTAAAGTTCACAATGACGGTCATTAAGAGAGGATTTCATCAGTCAATTGAAAGTAATATCAAAAGAATTTTATGGAACTTTTAGATGATGTGAAATAGACATACTTTATTGCAGCTTCAAGAGTCCTGGTAGCATCCTGCAGTGAATCTGGGGCCATATATATATATATAAATATATATATATTTAAGCAAAGTATTAGCTTTTATCAACAAAAACTCAAATTAAAGGCTAAACACTAAACAGGCACATCAAATTTGAACATGGACGTTATAGCAGGCTCAACCCAACCTAGTGGATAACATTAGTCCCAAGTTACTAGTATAAATCTTATTAGGGGAGCAAAGATCGCAGAGGCAGTGAATAATGTAGTCTTCTAGCTGTAAGTGTCAATATGAGTCGGGTCTTATGGGCCAGCCCGTTCACTATGAAGTGTCTATATGCATTTATCATGACTAAAAACAAGTTCAATGCGTCATGCATGACTCTTTTTCTGTGCTTGTTTATGACCCTTCAAGCTTGGCCCATAGAGCTCGCTTGCGGCTGTAATTGGGCTGGGCCAGGATTTTACCTACCTTCTTTTTCGGCCTGTCAAATCTTAAAAGGCTTACTGGGAAGGACAGGCAGACAGTCCTTAATTGAGAGCCTTGCCGATAAAATGAATTTTTAAGCTGGTAAAACATTCTCAAAGATAAAATTTTGGGATGAAATGAGAACAGATACAATGGCGTCAGACTATGCAAACCAAACTTGCCTAGCAATTTTTGGTCTTGCTTGGAGGTTGTGGGAAATTCTGAAAGCATTTGTTGGCATTCATTTTGTAACTCCTTCACAGCCTTCCGTTCCACACTAGGAATTGGAGGAACATCCCCATCTGACCAAGTTGGCAGTGTTCGTGCTGTAGCTATGACTGCTCCGTCAACAAAAGTATCGCCCTCATTAGATAGCAGAGCTGCGACAAATTTCACACCAAATTTTATTAATGCCAATACACATAGCAAGCAAAATAACAATTTGGTCCCTATATGACTCATCCCGTCTCCAAAAATCAGTGAATGCATGAGTTAGTCATTATCATAAAATTATCACATATTAATCCTCTTGTATAGTGACTAAAAAATGTTGAGGAATAATCCTTTTATTCAGTACTCACTAACTTCAGAGACTAAAAATAATTAGCCTAACAATTTAGAGACACAATAGTTGGTTTACTCTAAATTATTCACAAAAGCAGACAGCAGTTTTAAGTTGACCTACTTTCAGCTCCCAAAAAAGAAAAAAAAGTTGACCTACTGTTATGATAATACTCTTCAGGAAGGCCAGATATGTTGAACACTGACAAGAAGGTATCCAAATGTATGCGTGCATCTCCAGAGAATTTGATCTCATCCCAAGGATTCTGCAAATTTAAGTTATTTTGAGATTACAGTTCATGCATCTTGGTAATCATAGGCAAGCATGTAAGCAAACTGATTATCATAGAAATAGATATATCATTTGCAAGATTGAATATTTTTATATCATGGTTTTGAAAAATGAACGGGGTGTACAAACCGGAACAGACATTTGTGGTGTACAGGTTTTACTATGGTCAAATGGACCACACATATAATCCAGAGTCTGACGCATAATCGCTATGTACCTGCCATCTTCATGAGGCCTAGGTTTAAACTTTGAAGTTTGAACTGAGATGACTAGTTGAACTTACCAGTACAATACAGTTTTCAGAGTTCTGCTTAATTAGTCTATTGAAATATTTTAAAACTTATAAAACACCTAAAGTGAACCAATCAACTAACCGTAGCTGAAAAAAGATCTCAAACTAAATTGTACATGTTACAGAAATAATTATACCGTAGCTGACATTCATGATGAAGGGCTTCCAGCATCTGACTTCTTCTAACTAGCATGGTAGGGACTCATTCGATTGATTTCAAGAAAAAGCAGAAAGAAATTAGAGTGCATTGTTTTCCATCAGGTTTAAAATGGAAGCGAAAATTACCACAGATGATGAGAAGCCATATCTTTGCATAAACATGTCATTTTTTTGTCTGCTCATGTAATCAACCGTCATCTGTTTAAAATTTTTTGACAGTATAGTCAGGATCACAATGTGTCGACAGGAGACAAACTACAAAATAAAGACTCAGAGGACAATACTTTTTCCACTCCACATCTCTTTTAGAAAACGTGTTGATATCTTGATATAGCTCATAGATAATAACACTCTCCATCTGTCACTCTAGGGGTATCCGGACCATTCATTTGAAGATACATTGAAAAAAAGGGGCTATTATACACTAACAGTTATGTAGCAGTCACCTATAATTGCATCATGTGGTTGTGCAGCGATTGTAGTGTAAGTTGTTTCGCATTTTGGGGAGAAAGAAAATTTGCACATACAATTAGGAAAATTATCTCTTTAATTAATTCAAATTTTGGAAGTATGAAAGAAAGCGATATAATAGAGTGGCACTCTTTGCTGGTTTGCATCACTTTCGGCCAGAATGTAACAAATTTTCACCCAGAGATTCTTACTAGTAGATCTTCAGGAGAGATATCTTTTCTAGCTTCTATGAGGGTTCAGCTTATGAGCTTTTCTGGGAGAAGGGAGGTTTTTTATTCTTATAATCTGTGTGTCCTGTTCCTTTTTTATGGTTGTTCTTCCTAGGAAAATTACTGAACCGTCTGTTCTCTCTGTTACCTTTCTTAATAAAGTCTTATAAGAGATATTAAGAACTAGGGAAAGTAAAATAGGTCATAAGAATTGCCCTTTTCAGAGGCACTAAAGAAATAAGAGTCTTGTAAGTTAAGAAGTTACACAGTGCCTAACGCGTGCAAGAATCTTTCCATAATTGTGTCATGAGAAAATCCGTGGGTCAGTCTTTTATATTAAAAGTCGTTAGTTTTTCAATTAATACGTTTTGTTTGGTGTCACTCCCTTTCTCCCAAACTTCAGCTTTCCCTAATTTCTCAACATTCTGCCAAAAGGAAAACTGTTTCCCCTTAGTCCCTATGACTATAACCAAGGTTCGTCGTCCATGCCAAATCACCTAATAGTTCATGCATTGAAGAAGGATTTGGAATCTAGCTCTAAGCCAACCAACAGAAGAGATAAGTTATCAAACTGTTTAAATGAGGCAGAAAATTCAGAAATGGGGCAGAGAATTTGTGTTCTTCAAAGTGTATTATCTGTCACATCATAAATTGGCGAGGTCTCCATTTATAGGCATGAGCCATAGTCAAGTATGCAAAAATATTCTTTAAGAGAACATATAGTAATATCCTTAGGACCTACTCCTTCGGTCCTTAATATAAGACCCATTTAACTAATTTGATTAGATTAAGAAAGTTAGGTAAGTTGGTTAATTATAAGAAAAGTGATACATTTTTCCTAAAACACTATAATCATCTTTCTTAATACTCTCTCTACCTATTCTACTTGATTATGATTGAGGGAGTATCCATATGGGTAATTTAGAGAAAATTGATAAATATGAGAAATGGGTGTTATATTTAGGACCAAAACCAACTCAAGAATTAGATCCTATATTTAAGACCAAAGGAGTACTATGCTAAGAAGAACCAAGAATAGAATTTAATACTTCCACATAAACCAATAGCTACATTTCTCTCAGCTTTCTGCGCATAATTCTACTTTCTCCGGTTTTAGACAAGAGATTTTGTATAACCCATTACAGTAACATTAACTATATGCAAGGAATCTATTAAACATGTCTTCCAAAAACAAGTTACCTCATCTCCCTTTCTAATCCTCTGTCCCGCATTTATCAGCACCTCAAGCATCCGGTCCTTGAAGCGCCAATGGAAAAAGCAATTTGGCTCAAACGAATGGTTCAGCATGTCTAGAAAACAAGACTAAATTGGTCAAATAGATTAAATAGGCAACAGCATAAACTGATGAGCATATCTCCACACCTCTAAGGAGTGTAAGACGTGTTTTTCACACTATTGTTTATTTCCCTCTGCGACTTATATTTTTTTTTTACATTGCAATTGTCAGATTTCCATAGACACATATACTTTTCCCCAAACAAAACCATCTATTTTTCTGTGGAAAGATGTACAACTTGTTATACAATATGAATGAGGAAAAAATGAGTGAAGATTTTGACTCAGTAATTTATTACGACAAATAAACACATGGCTCAGAATAAATGAAGGAAAAGCTACCAACCATGACAGTGGGGAACAAGCAGATGGACTTTTCAGAATTAGGCAGAAACACATTTAACCAAACACCCTCAAAATAAATGAAGGTATCCAAAGGAAAGGGGAGAAATCAAGGCATTGTGATAAATGAGACACGAGGATATATAAATCGATTCATTTCACCATGCAAGAAGTCCTTTCTCATGCAAAATATATGGGATCGTGATAGTTTTCACAATAGAAAACTCATGCTCTGGATTCTTGCTTTATTTGGATGGAAAGGCAATACAAATATAGGGATTAGCTCAGGGAAGGAAAATGAGAGATCTCAAATGCTGAGAACCTAAACAAGGAAAGAAAAAAATCTACAAATGCTAGGAAAGAAAGGAAAAACATAAAAACAAACTGTGATAAAAGTTTGACAGTCTCAAGTAACCAGAAAAGGAGAAGAGCAATTATTTGCCAATTATCACTGAGATTACCAACAAACAAAATAAGTTTTGAACAATTTCCAAAGGCATCTCTACTTCATAAAATTAGTAAGAATCGCCTCTTACAGATTTAACAGTCCCCTTTACTTTCCACTGAGGTCGCATGGCAGCACTAATTGGAATTGGATTTTAGGGCCATGGATTCGTCTAGTATCTTGTGAACAATTATTGTCAATCCATTACGGCTTCCATATCAGGGGGGAAAACTTGGAAATTTACATGGTATCTATCGAATTTGGGATTCCAATCAGCCAACAATGCATTTGAAATCAGGGATTATGTAAGGAAACTGAATCTAGAGCAAAACTATAAACATGATAGAGATTTTGTTAAGGGTTTCGGAAGACCATTTGTTGTATTTGTCAAATTTGGAACTCCACTGGGCCTCGGGTATTTAACTTAATACAAAAGGCGTACAATGATAGCATTACTATCTTCAAATCCACCACAGATTTCATGACATTAATTCAAACTACCAAACAAATTGATCTCTACATGCTGCCATCTTCAAAGAAAAAAGAAAAAAGAAAAAAGAAAAAGCTCCACGAGGAAGGTAATTAATAGCCAACACCCTTATAACTGAAATTAAAGTAGCTCTTCAAGTCAAGCTGGAGAAACTGATTCATCACACAATCTCCTGCTACTTGTTCATCAAATTCTAATATTAATAAACATATAAAACAGACTAAGGGCATAATAGACAAATTGTTGAATTGATAACTAATGAAGTTATAAAAATATGACAATTGTTTAAATATATTAAGAAAGAAAAATGTTTCATATAGTCAGGCTAATTTTAGATAAATAAGCTTACCAGCATAAGGAATCAGCATATTTGCATCTTGATGTAGTGCACCAATCCTCATTTGCATGTTAATGCATCGTGATTGTGCTATACCAACTGCCCACATGAACCTTTGAGGATCACGAGCAAGACGCTTTATCTTAAGGGGAACACTGTTGTGCTGAGCAAGATTGAAAAGATTTGTTAAGAATAAGAAATGAAGCATTGTACATAATGGCATATAATAATGCGAAGCATAGTTATATTGATAGCACATAAAAGAAATCCACTTGCAATGGAAGAAGCATTTAATGCCATATTGGTTGACTTATTAGGGCGCTAAAGTGGAATTTAGTGCAAATTATATTATATACATATATATATCAAATATATTTAATATAATTAGAATGACAACAAAATAATAATCTTTGAAAAAGCTATGCTTGCACTTAAAACATAGCTCATTACAACTCAATTAACATCTAAGATATCACTGAATCAACAATTAAAAAAAAAAAATCAAGCGGCTGAATCATAAATATGTCTGAAGATTCGGGGGCTATTTGGTATATGGAATGGAATGGACAACATATCACAAGGTAAACATTCAGTTGGGGGCAGTTTTGAAATGCATCAGTTGCATAATCCCAAAGCATTCACAATAAAAGAATGCTTTACAAAACTAGCAAAGAAAAATGAGGAATTCATATGGAGAATAGAGAGAGCCAAGAAAGGTCCTTTTTGGTGTGTGCCTTCAGTCCCATGACAAAAAAGTGAGGAATAAAGAAGATAGCATGAGTGAAAAGAAAGGACAAGCCTTATAGAAAACAGACGAGACATGGTTACTCATGACTACAGGGCAGTCAAAAACTTCCTCAAAAGACAGCAGTTGCTGGATTTTATCCTTAAAAAGCATTGCATTTAATTTTTGCTCTGTTTTCACATGGTAAAGTACGCAGCTTGAGACAGGCTGTTACAGTGCTTGCAGCACTTGCTAAATTAAAAGAGGCAATTAGCTCTTTACCCAATTCTTCTCCCAAAATTCTAAGGCATGACGTTGCTGATTCCTTATGGTAGATGCAAGATTCGAATCCTGCAGCTCCAACAGTTCTTCCTGCAGGGTATACAGATGAACAAGAGAGCATATAAATCATGCCAGACTATAAGGTGTAAAGTAAGTTAAAAAACAGATATGCATGTAACTATAGATATGAGTTCTGAGGAACTTGGGCAATAAAACTTAGAAAAAGAGGACTCAGGCCGACAAGGGCAACATATATTTTCTGATTCAATGTTAGTAGTCATCTTCCCAAATAAAAAAATTGGGAAAAAAAAAAAAGACCTTGAGTTACAATAAATTGCCGAGGATGGACATTTTAATAAGCCAAATGCAATCTCATAGTAAGATTAGCTGCACGACTCTTACATTCAAATCATTGATGAAGCCACCCATCAAATGCAACTGAAAAGAGGAATCAATTAAAGCAGAGTGTCCAAAAGATAGGCCCACTTATCAAACAACGTGGATAAGTAACAAAAATTAATTTTCAGTGTGATGACATGATTCAACATCAATGCAGAAAAGAATAAATGGAAAAGAAAACTTGAAACGTTAAAAACTTCCAATCCAGCATGTTAAAAGTGTGGCACTGTTGCATAATAATATAGAAGTTAGGTGTGACGGTTAAGAACTAGCCGTTAGGGACCTAGGCCTCTAAATAGAACAATACTCGGATTGTATTGCCTGAGATAAATGCTGAATAAACTTGCGCATTACTCAGAACCTTCTTGACTCTTCTCTTTCTCTGACTCCTACTCTCTCTCTCCTATTCTCTCAATCTCTCTGTCCTCACTTCCCATTCCCCTTTCTCCCTCTTCTCTTTAATTTTCAGAATTACAATCATCCATCAGACACTGACGTCAATTTTTAATCAGTATTCAGCACGATTGTCATATTCACACTAACTCAAGAAAGGGATTCATCTAATTTAAAATATTATCAAATAAAGGTTTAATAATATAAAACAGGTGGTACTCACCTCTTTCGCCAGAAGTAAGCTAGTGCACTCATCAGCACTGGGTAAGAAGTCACCATACAACTGCCAAAAGTTTTCCTGACAGTCCATTGCATATAACAGCAGGCATGCTAACCTAAGGTGCCAATCTGTCTGCCACAAAAGAGTCATGCAATTAGAATTAAGATAACCTGAACCAGCAGGAGCATATTTTAACTTCGCAGGTGCTATTGCTCATGGAACTGAGACAGACCATATTCAACAATCAGTCAATCAATAACATAAGTGATAAACTGATAAGAAGATGTTACAGTCATACACAAACTATGAAGGAAGGACACACTTAGGGATGTCAGCATGTCAAGTATGGATGCCACCACCATACGCCAATGACATGTATCCATACATATTTAAAAGTAGGAAGTTTATAAAGGACTTAAAGGGGAAAAAGCTTAACTTGAAAATTAATGACCGATCTATATTAGGAAAGAAGCCAAAATAAATTATGAATGGAAGACTAAAACCCAGTATTAAGAAATACAGATTTTTACAAGAATAATAGTTCAGGGTGCTACAAATATAGGATGAGATCTATTGTGATTTTCTTTGGAGGGAGTTCATTGAATGAGGAGTTTAAAAGGTTCAGATTTGGGGTATGACACATTTGTCACACATTGAAAGTCTGTAAGACTTCCAATATAAAATACCATGAATCTCCTTGACAACCAATCTAAATTTTACGTTAGATTCTCTGTTTGATCTTAAAATTAACATGGCCACTTTAAGATATGGCTGCTTTATAATATATAAACAAACAAAAACTTCAGTATGTTCATTTTAGCTCTGAATTACTGTCTTGAAAAAAGAATTGAAAGTACCTCTGGATTTGTTGAGTTGATAATATCAAATATTGGATGTCCCACTGGAATTATATCAGGGAAGAACATCCATGGGAGCTTCTGACGCACGGTTAACATCAATTCAAGAGGAATTTCCATTATAACCTGCTCAAGCAAGTACAATTGACATCAATATGGAAAATGAATTTGGACTATGGCCAGATCATAGGTTCCCTGAATTTTGCTATATGTACAGCTAGTTTTTCATGTGCCAGAAATTACAGCTGTACACATGCTAAAAGCTACACACCCTGGGTCGGCGAAGAGGTTCAACATCTTTAGAAGCATACACACCAAAACCGTCAGGCCCTTCCTTAAACTCAACTCCATAAGCTCGCATGCTTCGAATATAACCTATCTTGTAGAAATCAGGGTCTGCTGGCTCCAACTGCAGGAACGAAAGAATTTCCATGAAGCCATAACTCAATTTTAACTAAAAGTGAAGATCCCTAAACAACACATGGCAACAAAATTTACTCTGCTAACTGAGACAGTATAGTCCAGCCAGGGCTTCTAGTCGCTTCCCAAAATCTATATCTATATAGTATAAAATCTATAGGAAGCTATACCATGCTAGTCATGGCATAAATAGCGTGGCTCTTCGTACAAAGGACAAAACCACAGTCTAGTTGTATCAAAATTAAAGACTCCCAAGAACTAATGGTGGAAAAAGTTAACTTGCTAACAACAATAAAACTTAATTCACTCACTCTGAGCTACTGGAGTCAGACAGGTCCCACTTATTATTCCATATCAACAACTGAGAAAGCCTGATACTAGCACGAATAAACACAACAAACTCTATAATGCTCAAATGTATAAATGCAAGTTGAAGTATTTTGCGATACGTGTGTCAGACACAGCTCCGCCGTTAAAGTGCCGTGCCATTGGGCACAACCGATGAAAGGATAAGTGAAATAAGGTTTGGAATTTACCTCAGACGACGACTCTTCAACTTTGGGAGGTTGGAATAAGGGGAATGGGGCTGAATCAACCAAAGCTTTGATGGGTCGAACTTTGCTTTCGGAGTCGCGGCAAAATGAGAAGCTGGGTCGCCGAGAGCCATGGCCAAATCCTCTCAACTGCTTCAAGTGAAACCCAAAATTGATGAAAAACTTGAGATTGAGAGTTATGGAAAGAGAAGAACAAGAGAAGGAAACTGAACCTGGGTTTTAGAGAAGAAGCTGTGACTGGTAGGCTGAGAGAGAGGCCAAGAAGAAACCATTGGAAATGAAAAGGGATTGAAGAGAGTGGAAATCTAAGCGCATAAAATGCGCTCCACCGAGTGGTTAGTGAGATGATAGCACCAGCAGCAGCAGCACCATGAAAGAAAGAAGAAAAACTGAAAGAACGTTATCCGGTTTTTCTCCCCGGAGAGTGTGTCCTGCTTCTGATTTCTCGGACATATTTTAGTTCCCATCCTTTCTGTGTTTTTGCTGTATTTGCTTTAGGCAATCCTCACTGCTACTGTCGTCGCGGCTTAATATAAAAATTAATTAACTAATTTAAATATATTAAAAAAATTATAAAGTTAGTTTTTTTTTTAATAAATATGTTATTTTTGCTCAAATATCTTTACAAATCATGTGATTAGCTGAAACTATTACTTGATAAAACTTTTAACATATACAATTATTACAAAAATTATTTTAAAAAAAATATAAAAGACCAAGTAGATTGAAATCTTATATTTAGAATCAAATTAAAATCAAACTAACTTTATATTAAAGACCGAATGTAATATTTCTAGATGTGTTTTATGAGGTCTATCTCATGTCCCTCAATATAATAATTTGTGTCTAAAATTTTAAATTAATATTTTTATTTTTTATTCCTATTAAATATATGTCACTTATTACCTTTTTGTAACAAATTTTCACTCATTATTTGTCTTGTGCTCTTTACAAACAAAAGTATAATTGTAAAAATACATATTATATCTTACATATTTATTATTTTTAATTAAATTTAATTAATATTTTGAACAGCGTGATTTTAGTATTCTCCCCTTTCTGCTGCAAAAACAAACATAATTATTCATCTTCTTCCTTATATTTACTAACAACGTTTCTTTTTATTTTTTTTTTTGGGTATCCGAAACAGTTTCTAGTTTTTCTGGGTGTAGGAACAACGTTTCTAGCTATCCCAACGCTAAGCTTTTAAATGGTACAAATTTTTGTTATAAAAAAAAAACCAACAATGCTTCTATATTCTGGACTAATTTCATTTTCTTTTTATAAACAATAATGAATTCGAGGATGGAAGTTTAGGGACCAACTTTCTGGTAATTAACGTTCAAATAGTTTAAATTGTATTAATGTATGTAATATGCAATGGCTGATTCCTCTTTGTAATATACTACCTCTGGTCCTAATTATAAGAGCCAGTTGACTAATTAGAAGAGATTAAGGAAGTAAGTTGAGTTAGTTATTTGTCCTAAATAGGTGTTGTTTTTTCTAAAATATCCTTACAAATCAAGTGTATTGACTAGAACTATCATTGTTAGAAGGACTACTTTGGAAAAAAATATATAAATATGAGAGACAAAGTGGATTGGGATCTTATATTTAAGATCAAAATAAAAATCAAACAGGGTCTTATATTAAAGACCGGAGGTAGTATGTAAAACAATCACACACATACAGAGGCTCAGCCTCAGACAATGAACTTAAAAAAGCATATTTTAATTTGTTATTTTGATAAAATAATTACCACAAGCGTTTTTTTACAGTTTTACGTACATGTTGATCTTTATTAGTAACAGTAATTATAAGTCGACCATTTGACATGCTTTTTAATTAATTAAGGATATTTTGGTTAAATAACATTAACTTTTACAACAACATGATCGAACTATCTTATTTTTACGTTTTTTTGGTGATAACATGAACCATCTCATAACTTTTTAAAACTTATGCATGCAATTTTAAATTATAGATATTTTGGAGACGTTGAATAACTCTCTTTTTTTCTTTTGGCAACTGAGAATTAGTACTCTCCACGATTAATAAAACTAGAATATGTTTTTTCATTTTTTCCTTTTAATACAAAGATCACCTTTTTTTAAAAGAAAAAGATAAAATAATATTAAATAATATAAGTTTAAAAGTTACAAACAGTCAGTCAAGTAAAATAAAATCGTAAGAAATTATAAGAAAACTAATATTAGAATAACCCTAAAGTTAATAAAGAAAAATAAAAAAAATAAAGCTAAGATCGTGAACATCGCATAAAACGCTTATAAATAAGAGATTGATTAACACATAATAATCTAAAAGCAAGTTTCTACACTCCGTTAGGAAGTAATCAGGAAAAGGCTTCAGCATCTAATTGATGTTCTTAATATGAGCCAATCAATAGGAACACAATGATTTGCTTCCCTAAACATGTGATTAAAATCCAATTGCATATAGATAGGTTATAATTTTAATGTAAAATGACTAAAAAAGACATAAAATTTATTGAATAGTAATGTTTTACTCCTCCAATATTTAATATAAGACCTATTTAACTAATTTGATTAGATTAAGGAAGTTAAGTAAGTTAGTTAATTATGAGAAATATGATATGTTTTTCTAAAAATACCATAATCATCTTTCTTAATATCATCTCGCCATCTTCTACTTGATTATAGTTGAGAGAATATCCATAAGGGTAATTTAGAGAAAATTAAAAAATATGAGAAATAGGTCTTATATTTAGGACCAAAATTAACTCAATAATTAGGTCTTATATTAAGGATCGAGGAGTATATTATATGTTTTTAATGTGGTAATAGTTAAAAAAATAAATAAAACTATAATTAGAAAATAAAAATAGTATACGCATATAATGTAATGATTCAAAAAAAATATTAAAATTAAAATTAGACAAATAAAAAAATAAATATTTTATTGGAAAAATTGTAAATACAAAACAAATTATTTTAATAAAAATTATATAAAATAAGTAATGTAAGGAAATAAAATAATATAACAACAAATAAAATGAATAAATATATATAAATAAAAATAACATTACCCCAAATCGACATGTGCACTGATAGGACATGGGACGTAGGACGTAGGCAAATAAGGACAACAGTAAACAAAGAAGCACGAGGAGTAAGGACAAAAATGGAAGAATAAATAAAAAATGAATGGGATATGAGAAAGCGGGAATTACAATCAAGACTCACAGAAAAATATAATTACCAAAAATATTCTAATAATGACCTTAACAGCCTGTAATGACAAGTCCTATAATAGAAAATGATAACTTATAGGACTTGTTTTTCAACTGTTTTTTTTTTTTTAGAACCTCATTATAATTCTCTCTATGAGAAACTAGGAGGGGTGCGGTGAAAAAGTAATCAGAAGTGGTGGTGGAAAAAAAGTTACTTTTGGGCATAAGTCAATATCAAAAAAATACCAATCCAAACGAGAGAAATTATCAACAGCAATGTTCACCGTGGCTTTTGAAGGATGCACTGTGCTTTTTCCTATGCCAGCGAGGCAGCGACAATCTAAACATTCTCGTAGCTTTTTGATAAACCCGAAGAAGATCACAAGTAGCAGAAGTCTTAGGGCCTGTTTGGCAAATGACCCAAATCATGATTTGAGTCAAAAATTTGGTAAACTGGGAGGAAAATCAACAAACCACGGTTTTAGAGCAAAATCACGGTTTTGGTATAAAACCATGGTTTTGAGCTTAAAATCATGTTTTTATAAGAAGTGAATTCATTCTATTTTTGACTCAAATTAGAGAGTATAATTTTGCCTCTCAGAGTAGATCCCAACAGTAATATGACTTTAAGACCTCTCGATTATTTTTCTATAAACATATTTAATCTTACATTTTAGAAATATATATACACATATTAATTATTTATTAATTATATTATCTTATATATTATTAAGGGATAATTAATATATAAGTCCTTATAGTTTCAACTGGTTTTTAATCAAGTTTCTATAATTTTTTTTCTTTTTATCAGGTCCTTATACTTTCATATATTTTTATTCTAGTCCTTATAATTTTTTTTCTTTTTATCAGATCCTTATTGTTTTACTTTGTTTTTAATTAGGTCCTTGTAGTTTTTATTTTTTATTTTACAAATAATAACATTTTAAAAATAATAAATTATTGTAACAATCTTATGTTAATATTCTTTTAAATTTTTAGTTAAACAAATATATTATTTATTTTCAATTTGAATTTTTATAATTATAAAATTCAAATTATAATAATAAATTTTTATAAAATTAAAATATGATTATAAATAATTTATATTTAAGTATAATTATTATTCTGATTATTTATTAATTACTAAATGATTATATTAATTATTTTTTCCAATTATATAATTATTAATTTAAAAATGAAATTAATTTTAAAGAATAAAGTTAATAAATAATTTTTTAAAAACTACAAAGCACCTAATTAAAAAAATAAGTGAAACTATAAGGACCTGATAAAAAGAAAAAAAAATAGAAGGACCTAATTAAAAACACACGAAAGTAAAAGGAGCTGATAAAAAGAAAAAAATTTATAAGGACCTAATTAAAAATCAGATGAAACTATAAGTACCTGGAGATTAATTATCCCTATTATTAATTGTGTTAGTCAAAAATATATTATTAACAATTTTATTCTTTCAAATTAAAATATATTATAAAATCTATTTTTTATGTAATTATTATATTAACTTATGCTTTTTTTAATAATTTGTACATATAAAAAGTGCTTCTGATAACAACTATCCAAACACTCTGACTTTATCAGAATCACTTTTTCACAAAATCTATTCTCCCAAAATCTATTTTTCAGAAGCTATTCTCCAAATCATGATTTGATTTCATTCAAACACTTCCTTAGACCACTTTGATTGATAGGACTACCAATATCTCTTAGCGTATCCAATCTTGTTGAGGCAGCTTCCACATGGTACCTGTAGACTACTTTAAACCATAAGTGTCCACAGAACCATCGATGCATACTTTGATTCATAACTGTGTCCACTTTAAACCACGTTTTGTGAACTGCCTCCAACAAAACTGTGTTTTGGAACCACATGAAATTTAAGTATCTCCAAACACAAAATAAATATGAGAAATAGACAATATGATTATTAAATTTAGGGAAAATTACTACCCACACATCGTAAGAAAATTAAATATAGAGAAGTTCTAACAAGTATACTTTTCTACAAGTTTTTAACTGTGAATAAATTTTATAAGTACATATGAATATTTGTTAAGTTTGGCTTATAAATATGATTCTTTTTGGACATTTTTGTATTCAATTTATTTATGTAGGACCTATGGGTCATTTTCACATTGATTTATTATTTCAATATATAGATAAGTAGATGATCTGTTTTAAAAAAAAAAAAAGAATAGCAAAGAAACATTGACCATGTGAAACAAAAGATCCGTAAATCATAGTCTAATGAGGATAAAAATAAATAACAACAAAACCAACTGTGTGAAGGCTACGAAATAATTAATGTTGTACTATCAGTTTATACTGCTAGTTTATTTCTTATCAACCTGATTAATATAAGTATTTCTTAAATAATGCTAATCGATGCTGCGAAAACAGAAACTCTCGATAGAATTTTGAAAATCTTTAATAATTTTGACCACATTCATAAAATTTATGACAAACGATCAAGAGACTAGTTGGTATTGGTATGGACACTAGAGCTCATCTCTCACCTATCCAGTTTTAATTAGCAATATTTATATTTTATTAGGATAATTTACAATGTTATTACTTTTCATGTTTAATTGGGAAGCTTATCAATTAGAGTTAATTGATCACTCTACCCTGTGAATAATATGTAACGTTTATCTTCCTGTAGGTTATTAGGTTATTGGCTCTTTATTATACTATCTTTGGTCTTTAATACTACCTCCCGTTCTTAATATAAGACCCTGTTTGAATTTTATTTTGGTCCTAAATATAAGATCCCAATCCATTTTGTTTCTTATATTTATGTATTTTTTTTCCAAGGTAGTCCTTCTAATAATTGTAGTTCTAGCTAATATAATTGATCAGTAAGGATTTTTTTAGGAAAGACAACACCTATTTATTATAAATAATTACCTTAACTTCTTTTCTTAATCTTCTCAAATTAGTCAATTGGGTCTTATAATTAGGACAGAAGGTAGTATAATGATTAGTTAGATATTCAATTTGGTTTTAAATATAGGATCCCAATATACTTTATTTCTAATATTTATTCATTTCACTTCCAAGCAATCCTTATGATGGTTGTATATTTAAGGAGTTTCTATCAAATGGTAGTTTCAATACACATTATTTTTAAGGATATTTCAGAGCGAAGACAGTATTTATTTATTACAAATAACTAACTTAATTATTTTTTTAATATTCACAAATTAGTAATCTAGTTTTTATATTAAGAATTAAAGCTAGTATAATTTTTAAAATCAAAGCTAGTTGCATGCTTGGATACTAACGTTGCGTTTGGTAGGAAGCATTGAAAATAAGAAATTAGGATTGGGATGACAATTGAAAAAAATCTATTAAGAGAGTGTTTAGTATAAGAGATTGTTTGATATATGAGATTAGCCAAAGTCATGTATATGAGATTGGAGAATACAATGAGAGAGTGGTATTTCCCAATCCCACCTTTATGGGTTTGCCTAATCCCATATAACAAACAATTGCTCATGCTAAGTACTATTTTAATGATTTTTTTCAATTGCAATCACAATCCCAATCCCTCATTTTCAATGTTTCGTACCAAACAGGATCTAAAAATAATGCTTTAGGAAAAATGTACATGTCCCCTCATTGCAAAATTGATGGAAAATACTTTGAGTAGGTATCGAATAATAGACACATTATATCGTACTTCTCTGGTCCTATTTATAGGGTAGAAAAAAAATATTTTTTTGGTCCTATTTATAAATTACTTCATTAAATTTTTACCATGAATGTACTATATATATTGTTCTTAATTTATTATAGTATAGATAGTTTTTTTTTGAAAGTGTATATATTAAATAAAAGTAAAGTTGGGAAATTGTTATATTTTGCAATTTAAGGTTTTTTTTTATCTATGTGAAACATGTTAAAAGTGCTTTATAAATAGAACAAGAAAGGAGCATAACTTTAGGCTATGATTGTTCAGTCTACGTATGGTACTGTAGTAGTTTTTTTAAAAGAAATTTAAATTGAAAATGAAGTAGAATAAGGATAGGAAATCATAGGTGTTTAAGTTCTAATCCTTTTTTGGATTTAAATCGCTGCTTGTCACCTAAAAATATATTTGATGTGTGAGTGGAAATCTTTCTTTTCTTTTCTTTTTAATAATAAATCTCACATAATTTCTTTGTTATGTGTATTTAAAATGTAAACTACACTTCTTCTGACAAAAAAAAGAGTAAACTACACCAGTTTAATATCAACTAGTGGTTGGGGATTTGATTGCTTAAAGACGAAATCTTGAGTTCCGAGTCTTTCATTGTGTTTTTTTTTGTGCAAAGCACAGGTATTTTTTTATCAGAGGTAATCCTGTTTAAGGTACTGTCAGAAACTAAATGTTGACATCTCTTTCAGTGGGGATTCGAATTTTGGTTCGCTACGTTATAAGGAACCAGCTCCTTCTGTTAGATCCAAATTATGTTGGTGAGTTTGAGTCTTTCTTAATGCTTAAAAAAAGCATTTTGAAAAGTTACTTTCAATTGAGTCCGATAATTAATGTTTGAATATATGACATATAGCTATATGAAAAAAAAAAAAAAAAAAGAAGCGTAAAATACCAAGATGCTCTTTCCGCCAAAAAGGAAAAGGCAAAAAAGCAAGAAATTCTGTTAACACACCAATGATGAGCCTCCCCTTCCCTATACTCTCAGCATCACTGACAGCGAACAACCACTGTATGTGAACGACCATGGAGAAGGCCACGAACTAGTAGAAGCGTCACGACTCAAAATCATATTCTCAAAAAATTAGAACCATTGGTCACCATCATAAACAACAATTTAATTTCAAACGTTTGAATCCCAACATAACCAACAATGTTAGACAAATCAATCACACAAAAAATCATCGGCCGGCGACCACAACTTTCGGTTCTGGTCAAATCATATATATGTTAACCAAAACAATGGGAGAGTAGCTGTGACTCGAAAGTTGCAAAAGCCTATTTCCAACGTGTTTCCCAAATGCAAAAGCTAGGGGATTTTTTTTTTTTAAAAAGAAAATCAATTCCATGGTGTTATAGATGATTGATTTCCATGGACTTTAAAATGAAATTGGATTCTTTAAAGTGCCGGAATACGAGTCTTTTAGGAAAAATCTTTGGTATACCAAAATCTGCATCTATCTTCTCTTTTTTAAAATCACACTTCTATGCTAATTTTAACTTTTTTTTTTTTGGAACTAAAGCAACGGGCCATTATTGGCTTGAGATTATGAAGTACTACCTTCGGTCCTTAATATATAAGATAGGGTGGAAGATTGGATTTGATAATCAATAGAAGATTTAAATTTATTTTGTCTCTCGAATTTATATTTTTCCCCATAGTATCCTTATTGATCGTAGGAATTCCTACCAAAGAATAGTTTCAATGCACATAATTAAATAAGATAGTTTAGGAAAGTCAAGACATATTTGTTACATATAACTAAGTTATTAACTACTCTCCTTAGTATCTTTCCATTAGTTATCTAGTCCTTATGTTAAAAACTAGAGGTCGTAAGATTAAACTCATAACCTCCTACCTATAAGGGAGCTTACACGCCATCGCTAGTTTACAAGGCTATTTGGCTCCATCCTTTTAACTTTGGCATACCAAATATAGCCTTAATTAGAATTTAATTGTGTTTTTTGGGTTAAAAAAAATCAATGAGTTAAGTCCACCTAATAAGTTAACCAGGGTTAGGATAAGGTTATTTGCAACTTGGAATATTCTAATAGGTATCTATTGCCTGTAAAATAGAGTATTCATATTAGTAGCGGGATCAAAACCGTCACATATGTAGAGCACCAAATTGTAGAAGTAAATATTTTGTAAAATATAAATAAAGTTTAGAAAGGATAATCTCAAGTTAATTAGACAGTACCTAGCCCATAAGATGCCTCCCATGACAACAGTCTCAAAGAGTAACTGCGCTGCTACTACTGCAAATGTCAAACCATGAATCATTTCAAAATTTTAACTTTTTCCCCAAACCCTCAAATTTTATATATTTTAATTTGGCCAGAAATAATAATTTGAAATATAATATTCCTGTTCCGAACAGTTCACACTTTCCATGCTTTCCCTAACGTTGTATTCTCAGTTAGTCAAATGTATCTACCAGGTTGGGAATGATGATAAGGATCAGTATATGGAAAACAATCAATAAACTTTTCAAATACCTTTAAAACCCATGAATTCAAACCCAAATTTTGAACCCTAATAAATTTCAGAAATTCCTCCTCTTAAATGTTTCCATTAATGCAATTAAATGATGCGTGTAGACAAGTCCAGCATATGTTCATTTGTCTACTGAATCCCAGTGAGGCTGAGGACTATATATATGGGGGCATAGTTCATGCCCTAAACCAGAAAACCCAGAAACAAAGAATTGGAGGTGTAGTTTCTTCTTCAGTGAGGTTTGAGAATGGATCTTTCTTTGAGTGTTGGCAGTGGATCTGGCGATGAGCAAAACACTGCAACCTCTCATCAGACTAGAAGGAGGTCTGCTCATCGTCACACTCCTATGCAGATCCAGCGACTTGAAGAGTAAGATCAGATGAGATCAGATCACTTTTAATTTATTTTCTTCCCAAACAAGTTTTTGTTTTGTTTATTGGATAATTCGTTGATTATGTGTTTGATTTCCTTGATTAATTGTTTAATCTGAAAGGTGTTTGTTTGTGTTGACCAAAACCTAGCCAAAAGCGCAGAGATCGGCAGTTTCAGGTTTCGATTTCCTCATGAGACATGGGTCGTGGCTGGTCTTGTGAGGAGAAAGATGGGATCACCGGAAAATTTGTGTCTAATTCTTGTTCCATGAGATATTATTATGTCATATATATAACGATCCAGATCTAACACTAACAACTAATACTATTAAGAGATCCACCATAAAAATAATATTAACAAATAAAGATAATATTAACAAGTCGCATTTATCCCGGAATCAAAATGTTTAGATCATTTCATATTTGATCTGAATGGTCCAGATTTTATATCATTTTTATGCCGGGGTCAGAGTGTTGGTTACGGCTACTAGTGATAGACCTGGATCGATCATTTGAGATTTGATGTGGATGGTCGAAATTTAATATGATATTTATGCCAGAGTTAAAATGTTTGTTTTGCGGCTACAAGTGTTAGATCTGGATCGATCATTTTAAATTTGATCTAGATTATCAACATTTTATACCATATATATGTCAAAGTAAGAATGTTGGGATTGCCAGAGATAGATCTTGATCCATCATTTCATTTTAGATTTGATCTAGATAGTCCAAATTTTATATCATATTTTTGTCAGAGTCAAAATGTTTGTTGCAACTAGCAGTGTTAGAGTTGGATCGATTATTTTTCATATTTCATCTATATGGTCCAGATTTTATATGATATTTACACGGGAGTGAAAATGTTTTGTTGCAGTGAGTGGTCATAAATCTATATCGATCATTTCACATTTGATCTAGATGGTTCAAATTTTATATCATATTCATGTCGGAGTCAAAATATTTGTTGCAGCCACTATAGTGGTGTATCTGGATTGATCATTTTTCATATTTTATCTAGATAGTCCAAATTTTATATGTTTTTTACAAATGATTTTAATACTTTTATCGTCAAAGAAGAAAGAATAGAAGAAAAGTTTTCTGACTATAAATTTTAGAGAAATAATCCTAAATACTAGATAGATTTTAGGAGAGCATGTATATCTTGGTTCTTCCCAACAATAAAAATAGCAAATAAAAGATGAAATCTCAATTGTAGAATAACGTGGGCAGTCCAAAGCCTCTTGTTACAAAATCGTTACTGTGTTATTTTCCGACACAGATATTTTATACTACTCACTCTTGTGGACTTAGATTGTTCAAATCAAACCACTCTATTGCTTGCTGTTATTAGTGTAGCAGCAAAGAATATGCTTCCTTAAGATTTTTTTTTTTTTTAATTTCACCATTGGCTTACTGATTTCTCACACGACAAGTAATATTGCTTTGCTCTTGTTGAACTTGTTTAATGTTTACCGATCTTTAATTTCTTTTTTTTTTGTCACTTTTACCGGTAAATATTCGATGCGTTTGTCCTATCTCAATCTCTCAGTCCTTTGAAATCTAGCCTTTTATTGTTTAACGTGATATTTTACATGATTTATTTTGTAAGATGAGCCTCAATATAATATCTTTGTTTGTCATTGTTTCATAAAACCTCCAATTAATTACTGGTTTTGTTTTGTGCATTTTCTTCTCACTCCATCTTAATTAAACCAAAAACGTAGCGGGATTTAACTTAATCTTTGTTTCTTCGATTGGTTATGAACTGAAGGTTTTTCAAGGAGTGCCCACACCCTGATGAGGAACAACGCAGAGATTTAGGCAAGGAACTTGGTCTTGAACCTAAGCAAATCAAGTTCTGGTTTCAGAACAAGAGAACTCAGACCAAGGTACGTCGTACTTGGTCTCAAGTTAGTTTCCGGATACACTTTAATTTAATTATTGTGAACTTATAGGGTTGATTAATGATTATTTTGTACGTGTTATTTTATATGTAAAATTATTCAGACGCTGAATGAACGGATAGATAACAATGTTCTTCGTGCTGAGAATGAGAGAATTCAGTCTGAGAATTCAGCAATCAAAGAGGCTCTCAAGAGTGTGGCCTGCCCTTCTTGTGGGGGTCCCTCCTATGGAAATGAAGAGCAAAGACTTGCTATGATGAAACTGCTCCAAGAGAATGTCTATCTCAAGCACGAGGTTATTATTCAATTAGTTTGATTGATCACAACCCTAATTCTAGATGCTTTTTTATGCGTGTCGTCTTCGAAATTCAAAAGCCTAATTTCACTTAATTACATACTTCGGAATGATGGAGTTGAAACTGATTTAACTTTTTGGATAGTAAAATTGTGTGTGTGTTTTGGGAGATTGCATTAATAATGATTGCACAGTAATGAGTGAACACATGGATATTATCGTTTCAACCTTATCATGACATATATATGATGTTTGTTCCTTACAAAAATGTTTGCTCTTTGAAAATCATTTACTATATATCTCTACAACGATGAAGCAAGAACAAATCAAAATAAAGTCAATCTCTAGAATGGTAATTAAATAATTAGTCCATATATATATTGTTTTAAATGATTGCATCGTATCATCATTTAATGATCTGTTTGAATCCTATCATCTGATGCTGGCCCCTTGAGATATAGTGTTTATAGTAGCATTTTATGATGAAATTGAAATACATACTATAAAATAAAATGATTAAAAGAGTAATAATTGGTACTTGATTCAGTAGTTCAATGGCTGCTTAGCTTCTTGATTTAATATTTCCCGTTTGATTTTCAGTATGAAAAAGCGACAAGGCTTGTCGCAGACTATGCTGGGAATCCTCTGATAGTACAAAAGGATTTCCTAACCCTAGGAACTCCATCACCATCATCACAACATGCCATGCCGACCACGTCCATGTCCGATGACAATAGTAACATGTTGCCAAAACAAGGCATCATCAACAAGGCAGTGATGTTGGAGACAGCCATTAGTGCCATTGAAGAATTAATGAGGCTTATGCGTGTGGATGAGCCACTTTGGGTCAAGTCTGAAGCATTTGAGCTCAAGGAAGGCTTCTTTCTCCCTAACCCTGAAACTTATGAAAGGATCTTCCATAGGGCTCATCACCTCCGCAAGAAGCTTAATAATGCTCGTGTTGAGTGTTCTAAAGCTTCCTGTGTCATTAACATGGCTCCTTTGCAATTGGTTGGCATGTTTCTTGACTCTGTAAGCACATCCATTCACTTTTTTTTTCTTTGGTATGGTATCTGAGAATAAGCTTAATGTCATTGTCCAATAATTGCGTTAGATTTAACTCTAATGCTCGAGGTCCGACAGAGATTAGTTTTATATCCAAAATGACTCAGAAAAACTCTGAGTTTATACAAAAAAAAAGAGTTAGATTTGATTTCTAAATATAAGATTTCAATCCACTTTGTCTATTATATTTATGATTTTTTTCAAACTAATATATCTCTAACTTATAAACTGATGTGTAATCTAATGTAGTCATATAATGGTATTAACTAACTTACTTCACTTTTTTAATCTCCCAAATTATTTAAATAGCTTTTACATTAAGAACTAAAGGGAATACATACTTGTTCAATTTTGTTAATGAGTTTTGCAGGAGAAATGGGCTAATCTATTCCCAACAATTGTTGGAAAAGCAAGCACATTGAAAGTACTTGAAGCTGGTTCGCTTGGGGGCAGGAATGGAGCCTTGCAGCTAGTATGTGTCATTGTGTGTGTGTGTGTGTACATACATATATGTTTAAGTGTAATTATATATATGTGCAAATTTTAAAGCATTTTGGATATATATGTATATATGCAGATGCATGAAGAACTTCACATGCTTACAGCTATGGTGCCACCTCGTGAATTTGTGTTCCTTCGAGCTTGTTTCCAACCAGACAAGGCAACATGGGTGATAGGTGATGTGTCATTTGTGCCCCTCGAGGACATCGGCGACTTTACTTATTCTTCCTCTTGCTGGAAGCTTCCCTCTGGATGCATGATTCAGGAATTGCCCAATGGCTTCTCCAAGGTTAGTAACTATACATAACCCTGAGGCTTCTAATTGATTTGCCTCATTCTCTAATGCCTTCTTTAATATTTCCAATTTTGTAAATTTTTTTTATTTTTTATCATTAGATTCCAGATAAAATGGGCAATAGTTTGATATCTTACGTTGATGAAATAATGTAGTTTTGAATTTTATTTTGGAAAAATTCTAAAAAAATAATTGTTAAATTTCAAAATTTCAAATCAGTATTAGTTATTATACTTGTAAAGAAAATGACTACACTCAAAAAACAAAGGATAACACATTTTTTTTTTTAGTGATTCTTGACTTGGAATGTTAAAATTCAACAATCATTTTTTGGGGATTTTTCCTTTTATTTTTATGAATTTTTTAAAAATAAATGAAAACGCACAATTTTAAAGTATTTTTCTTCAATTTTTAAAAAAAACAAAACTACAGAATTTCATCGCTTCAAGATATCAAAATGTCACTCATTTTGTCTACAGTTATAATGAAAAGGAAAAAAATATTTTGAAGGTTGAGTTATAACAAATTAAGGACATTAAAGTGAAGCACGTTAGAGGCTCCAAACCCAATAACCATATTTTTCAAATATGACTCATTATATATATATATATATATATATGATTAATTAATTGATTGTGGTGTGTTAGGTAACTTGGGTGGAGCATGTGGAAGTGGAACATGAAAGCCTGATAGTGCACATGTTGTATAGAAACCTGGCATTTAGCAGCATTGCTTATGGAGCTGAGCGATGGGTTGTGGCATTAGAGAGAATGTGTGAGAGAATTGGTTACACCGTAAGCCCTCACATTGCTCTTGATGGTGAAGCTGCTTCAGCGATGGGCGTTGTACCTGAAGGAAGAAGAAGCTTGATGAAGCTAGGGCATCGCATGATGAGGAGCTTCTGTGGAGTGATGAGCATGAATGAAACATCATGCGAAGAGTTTGAGGAGATAAGTGATGAGAATGAGACTGGAATCAGAATGTTCATTCGTCACAACCTGGAGAGAGGTCAGCCCCATGGCATCGTTCTCACTGCTGCTTCTCCTATTTGGCTCCCTCTTTCTCCCAACCGCATCTTCCACTACCTCCGCGACATCGCTCGCCGGTTCCAGGTACACGATACAAGTAACTGAATTACTTTTCTAGTCCTTAATATAAGACTTATTTAACTAATTTAATTATATTAAGAAAGTTAGGTAAGTTAGTTAATTATAAGAAATATGACATGTTTTTCCTATAACACTATGATCATCTTTCTCAATATCCTCTTTCCTTCTTCTACTTCATTATGGTTAGAGGAGTATCTATAGGGATAATTTAGAAAAAAAATAGATAAATATAAGAAACATGTCTTATATTTAAGACTAAAATCAACTTAACAATTAGGTCTTATATTAAGGACAGGGGGAGTACATATATAGATAAAGGTAAAGTTAGTTAAAATCAGTTAAAGAGGTCATAAATATGAAAAAAAAAACCCTTATTTTATGAGGAGAGAATGAGCAAATTGACAATTAATTCAATGGTTAATGGGGCGAAAATGGAAAAAAAGAAGGATGCTAAAAATTTGAGAGAACTGCTATAAGGTCCTAAGAAAAGAAAATTATAACTAAAAAGTCCTCATTACAATTGAGCAGTTTGTAATAACGACAAGTTCCAATGTAAGAAATGACATCATGTTTCAACTGTTCATTTGCCACTCAGATTAATTTTGTTAGTAATTATCTTTCTTTTAGGACTTCATACCAGCTGGCAATTTTGAAGATGCTTTCACTATCTCTTATAATAAATAGGAACATGTTATCTCTGATTTGATCCTCTCGTATATAGGACTACTGGACTGGATTTGAATATGAATGACCGTATATATATTTTGATGGCAGTGGGATGTTCTTTGCAATGAAAATGAAGAGCAAGAGGTTGTGCGCATCTCAACTGGAACTCATCCTGGAAACTACATATCAATTATCCAGGTATAATTTTTTTTTTTCCCCCGGTGATAATCCAGGTATAATTTTATGAGCACCATATATATATATATTATTAGTAGAAAACTTTTTTTTTTTAAAGCCAAGCTAAGTGATAGTTGTTTCCTGTTTAGCTTATTCAGAATCACTTTTTTTCCTCTTAACCTTAAGCATGACAAAATGTACGAGTCTAATTAAGTAAATATTATGGTTATTTCAAATTATATGGCAGACACACAATGTGGACGGCAGCGTTGCGATTCTTCAAGAAACTTGTGTAGAGCCGATGGGTTATGTGCTGGTGTTTGCTCCCGTGGATAAGCTGACGATCAATGGGGTGATGCAAGGGGAGGATTCGGCCGCCGTGTCGATACTGCCGTCGGGCTTTGTGGTCATGAAGGACGACGTGGGAATATCCAATGGCGGCGGAAAGGACGGTGGTGGTTCATCTCCCGGCGATGGGTCAATACTGACAATGACTATGCAGATTCTGGTGAGTAGCAGTGTGGAAACGAAGAGCTTGAACAAGAAGAGTGTGGCTACGGTGAACGAACTCGTGAACACCACTCTCAACAAGATCAAGTTTGCTCTGATGAATAATAATTAGGGCTTTCGCGTGGTGATGATGAATGAATAAATTATGCCCAAATAATAATAATAAAAAAAAGACTTTTGTTTCATTTCAAGTTGCGTTTTGATTTCCCGTTGTAATTTGCATGGATTGATGATGCCATGCAGACTTGTTTCGTGTTTGAACTTGAAGTTTGGTTTTCTGCGAATAAAATGAGACAGACATCAGTGTGATTATTGACGCGTGATTGAGTTTTCTTGAATTGTAGTACTGCCTTCGCTCCGAATTATAAAACCTAGGTTATAGATTACAAATAAAACCTTATAATTAGGACTGGAGGTAGTAGTATTTTATGGTTTTTACTTTTTACAGGCATGCATACACACACACGAAGCATACTGTAACTTAATTAAGCGCTTTTGGAGTAGTTTGGGTTAAAACGTGATTTTTGATCCACAGGTATTTTCATATTGTTTTGGTTGAAAAGGTTGTTTTCACCAAAAGCAAAGGAAGCTCTCAAAGCATGCATAGAATAATGTTTTATCTCTATTCTTTTTCTACTGATTTGAAACATAAAAACATATATACCCTCTTGTGCTATGTAAACATATAGTTTTTGGAAAAAAAATATAGCCCTATTTGTAAGATATCTTAAAAGGATAATCTTATTAAAAAAAGTTTAAAATTACTAAATCCTATAAAAATGTTTGATTATTTTTATGAAAGTGTTGTTATCAAATATGATTTGAATAGGATATTTTAGAAAAAAAAATCATATTTATTATAATTAACTAATTTACCTAATTTTGTTAATCTAATTAAATTAATTAAATAAGTTTTATATCAAAGATCAAAAGAGTAATTTTTCTCCACAAAGTCAATTATATGAAATTGTCATTTTTCTTGAGTAATAAGAAATTGAATAACAAATTCCTGTTCATAAATAACAACTTTGATCATAATACTCATGCGGTCCTAAATATAAAATTCTTTTTATAGTGTAAATTACACTATAAAAGGGTCTTATATTTAGGAGTGGAGGAAGTAGTATCAAAAACTACAAATCCAAAGCCAACAACTTTGCTGCACAAAATTAATTACAAGATTATCATTTTACATGAGCAACTCTAAACTGAATAACAGGTTACTTTCAAATTACTACATCGGATACAGTAACTACTTTGCTTTCATATTGATTCAAATCTCAGCTAAGAACTACACTTTATTGCTCTGCCGTTCTCTCCGCCGGCAACAAAATCCCCCTTTTAGTGTTCTCTCCGACGTCACTGCCTTCTTATTCTCCGCTGCATCGTTTGCTGGCTTCTCCTACGGCATTATCGCTCAGATGGGGTCTTAATAAATTCTTTGGATATATATATATATATATATGCATATATATGAGCAATCATTTCGTTGAGAAAATAATGATTCTTTTATTTCACTGAATAAGGTTTTATAAAAATGGAGTAGATGCCCACTTCATACTATTTTTAAATTACATATACAAAATGTAATTCATTTTACAAGACACTTCTTATATTGAGGACCGAAAGGAGGATATATGTAGTTGTGGGTGATAGAGTTAGAAAATAAGTGAAGGCGAATCCTACTGATGGTCTTAGACCACAACAGCTTAGGCCTAAAGTCTTGTTTTTCATACTGCACATTATTTATCAAATTTAAGCCTGACTCTTCTCTTATTATGATGCCCTGGGATTGTGCCAATAAACATGTAGTATCTCCAACCTTTAATATAAAAGCTAGTTGTAGTTAATACACTTGATTAGCAAAAATATTTTAGAAAAGACAACATTTATTTATTATAAATAACTAACTTAACTAATTTTCTTAGTTTACTCAAATTAGTCAACTGGCTCTTATATTAAGGATTATAGGTGGTATTTATTTAAAAAAAATGTAAAAGTAATAAATTCAAACATAACATGCAACTTATAATATTCAAAGTCCAACTTGCATCTCTTTACAGCTAAATAAAAATACTACTAATATATATGTTCTAAAATTTGATTAATTCAAATATAAATTATCTCGTCATCATACAAAAAAAAAAGAAGTAAAGAAGACATAATTACATAAACTAAATAAGTTTATTTCTCAATATCATCAAATTAAAGTTACATCCTCAATCCACACTATAAGCTTAAAACATGAACATTAATGATTTTTTTTAAATAACGAATTTATTTGACATTTTAAAAAAAAAAGGCTTGGCCGATCTTAAATGAGTTTTTTCAATACACACACACCCGGGTCTGCCAAAATCGATGATTAAAGAATTGGACCGGACCAGTTTTTTAGCCTGACTGAAAAAGACAGTAAAAAATTTTTTAAAAAAGAAGAAAAATAAAAAAAAAATGACCCCCTTCAAATATCCTAATATATTTTTAGACTATTTATAACCATATAGTATTAGTTCATTAAAATTTTCATATATTGTGATGTTAAAACTATGAGTCGCTAGCCTTTTTGTTTTGATGTCTGGTATAGTTTTTAAAACAATGTTTTGATTTAAATGAATTAATAATTTTTAATATTATTAAATATTTTAAACATACATAAATTTAAATATATAAGGTTTTAGTGCATTTTCAATGATTTCACAATAATTTTAGATTATTTAAATGTATTTCTAAATTATTTAATAATTTGATATTATATATACTCCTCTTGACCTATTTATAAGGCACTTTCAATATGTTTCACACAGACCAAGAAAACCCTTAAACTTTATTAACTCTCATTTAAAATTTAATAACTTTTCAACTTTATTTCTATTTAATATATATTATACCTCATGTAAACAAAGTCAACACAATAATAAATAAAGGACAAAATTGTACATCCATATAAAAAATTTCTCTCAGTGCCTTATAAATAGGACAAAAAAATATTTTCTCTCTCTCTTTCTCTGCTCTATAAATAGGACTAGAGGAGTATTAATTATATGTATATAATATTATTTTTAATTAATTATTACATTATTGGTCTGACCGAACAGTCTAATCAATCCAACTGATTAAACCATGACCCGTTAATATTTCTGGATTGACTTCCGGTCCGGCTTTTAAAACATTGGCCAAAATCTTCAAAACCAAGTAATTAGGAGAGAAATTTTCGTCACTAAATAAGTTTGCAACGAAAGTTAAGATTCCGTTACTAATTTAAGGATGGATTTGCAGTGCGTATTCCTCATGGAATTTTTCCAGCGCAGACCAAAATTTCCGTCGCAAATTTCGAGAATACCGTTTCACAATAAGATAAAACTAAAGTCGATTGACTTTAAGTTGATGCAATTTAATGCAACATAGTTTCCGCATAAAGCATAAATAAAAGCACAACAGAATATAGATTCAATTTCCATCATGATCTGAAGCATTCAATGGCATAAATTACATTAAATGTTTATACCTAATGTTAGTTTCATATCTAATTACTTATATATACAGAAAACAACACAGAAGAACCACCTATATGTAAATTCAAGATAGAGGAAGATCGATCTCTTTGCTGAAAACCAAGCACGACCATGCTGCACTCATCAACCCTTCGTCTTTTGCTGCTTGTTCTTGTTACAGCGACAACCTCAACGACTGCTAATAGCAGCAACAACAAAGAGGAACAACAACCAGACATAAACCTATCAATGGTTGATATTCACAACGATCTGCCATCGAACTCGCCGAGATTGTACGTGGTGGGTACCTTCCAATCGACGGAGGCTCCGATCGAGCCGGGAAAATCATACAACTTCGTCGCGGGAGGCAAAGAAGAGACATGTTTCCTGATAATGGATAAGGTATGTGCCGACATAGTGGTGTTTGATCCCAAAGTGGATTTAGGACACCACGGCGTGTTCTGGTCGGTGAGAAGCGATGGGGCGTATCACAGTTGGGATGAGGCCAAGTGGGAGAAGAAGGCTTCGTGGCAACCAGTAGATAAATGCCAGTAATAATGAATATAGCTAGTTTAGTTTATTCGTTTCTATCTTCTTGTTTTGCATTTGGAAGATGATGAAGTTGCGTGACAGATGTAAACTAGCCATAAATAAATAAACAATCTCATGCGGATTTTCGTATCCTTTACATTAATGTTTCAAGGAAAGAATCTAAGGGTTGTTTGTTTTTTGTTTTCTTGTTCTTAAAATAATTTTATAAAATTGTTTTTTTGAACAAGTTTTGAAAACAAAAAATAAAAAAATTTGTTTTGATAAAAATCTTAAAAAACATGTTTGAAAAAAAAACCCATAAAAAACCACACTTGATATGTGATAGTTGTCGTTAGTAATAATAATGGTGGATAATAGATGAGAAGAGAAAAAGATTTCTCAAAACTTCTTAAAACAAAAACAAAAAAACATATAAAAGTTGTTTTGGTTTTTTTGTTTTTAAAAACATGTTACTGTTTTTTGTTTTTTAAAACAGTCAACTAAAAACAACTTACCATACAAGTTTTTTTTTATTTTTCTGTTTTTAAAAACAAAAAGTTGTTTCAAAACAAAAAAACCAAACAAACCCTAAATCATTTGTTTTTTTAGTCTTTTTTATAAGTTTTTTTCAATATGTTTCACATAAACTAATAAAAATTTTAAACTTTATTAGCTCTTATTTAGAATTCAACAACTTTTCACTAACTTTATCCCAATTTAATATACAATATATCTCATGAAAATATAGTCAATATAATAATAAATGAAAGGTAAAAGTGTACATTCATATGAAAATTTTCTCCCATTACCCTATAAATACAACAAAAAATTTCTTTTCTTTATGCCCTATAGATGAAGTAGATTAAAGCAAAAATGGTTTGCATTCTTTGAGTGACAAAAGCGACACATTTTCTTTACAAGAAAATAAAAGTTTGGTCTACCAAATATAAGACATTGGTGGAGTTGTAAATTTCATAATTTAAAGGCAAAAGTGCACTTCTACTGTTTTAACTTCACATTAATTTTTTTTACCTCTTAATTTTACAAAGAAAAAACAATGACAATAAAATTTTCAGTTTCGACAAAATACTCTCAATTACATTACTGACAGTTTAATTTCAAAAAATTAAAATAATTGGCACAAAAATTATCAGTTGAAACCAGTAATAATAGGATTAGAGAAATTGATACATTGTGAAATTAAGAGAGCAAATTAAAACCTTGTATAAATTTGAAGGACTAGAGATATACTTTTTTCTAATTTAAAATTTAAATTATAATTTTTTGAAGGGAGACTTGTATGGCACAACCATATAAATTGTATACTTTGCTTTCTTTTTTTGACCAGCTTATAATTTGATTTCAAAAGTAGAAAATGAAAAAGGAAATATTGTAATATCTCAAGAAATAACTTGTAAATAAACTGAGAGGAAGACTTTTTTTCCTAACTGAAGTGAAAACAATGATCAATTGATTTATAAAAATTTGAAGTAGTTAAAAAACATATAGGTTAACTTGTAAATTGAGCAGAATGACTTGTAAGTAAAATATCATTTAAATTATTATATATTAAAATGTTAATATTTTAATAAAATATTATTAACAATAAAAAAATTACTTTTTTAAGTACTCATCGGCTCTCTGTCCGATGGCGGTTTCGCTACTAGGGACGAACCCATTGACAATTGCACAATGAAGGTTTTCGGGCATACTTGGAGTTTGCAATAAAGTCAGGTTGCCACGCGGAGATCCGATCACGGGGACGGAGTCGGATTTAAGAGACACAGCAAATACACTGGAGGGGAGTTTGGAGAGACGGAGAGAGCCTTGTGGAGGAGGAAAAAACGCATAAAAAAGCCTTCTTCCCAAAACTGATCCCTTTTGATCAGTTTTGTAACTCCTCGTTTATTCAAATAAAAAACTATCTCAAAACCGTCTCCTCTGCACAACCGTTCCCGCCTTTTGGCAAAATATAACAAAGGGCGAAAATTACAGTTAAGGACCCATGAGTTTTGCTATTTGCACTGGAGTCCCAAATGACATTGGGCTCGGGTCCAATCCACCAAGGGTGGACTGGCCCATTTTCCTACATCTCCCACTCACACTTGGTGGATTAGATGTCATGGGTCTAATCTCTTCACCTTCCCTCAATTTCATACTTAGTGCTTTGCCGTGACCGCGTGGGCATGACGTCTTCGCTTGGGTCCTTGTACTAGAAATCCCTTTTAAAGGATCAGCACAAGTCACCCTCTCCTTTGTGTAGCTTGAATTTTAAAATTATGCCTCAGATGTCCTAGATTTACTTATATACACTTTTCCACGGTAAATCTAATCCCTCTCGAGTCAATGGTTGACTCAGATTACCTTTCTCGTATGTCTAGTATCCACACTTATGACCACAAAATGTCATA